TGCTTTTATTAGATCTGACAGAATAAAAAATTAATTAGAACATTTTTAATTATGGCAGAATGTAGTACCAATGTATATTAAAATGTTATGGCTATAGCACTGTCGAAGATATACATTAAATATATAACTATTTTAAAATGTGCCAAAACAGGTTCTATATGCATTGGCATTATGTTAGCAACAGACTCGTGTTAAAATAATACTGATATACACCTGGAAGGAGGTGTTGTTTGCTTTCTGTGTTCATTCCATCAATTTTTTTATCTTGATCTTGGTTTGTAGAGTCTGCAGTTTTCCCAGACATACTTTTTTCATAAATTGCTGCTTGAGTCTTGGAACCTCGTTTTCTTGGAGACTGGGGAAAAGCAGTTTGGAAGGCCTCTCCAGGGCCTGAAAATTATGAAGTTAAAAAATAAAATATTTTAACTCTGACTTATTTATTTTAATGCTTGTCTAATACAAAGTTTAAAGTAAAATATATATGTATGTTAAGATAAGACTAGCCTTAAATCAATTTCCAGCAACTCCATATCATGAAAGTCAACAGTATGGACAAAATGTCTGATTCTGGTTAAGTGTTGTCTTCTTTCTAAACTATTCAGTGTTATATTTTTTAACCTTAATAAGATTTTCTTAGTAACATACCATACATCTCAACACTGGTAAGGATGGTATGCACACGCTTGACTTCACTGAATGTGGCACGTCTTGTAGCAAAAGGTATGGTGCGCAGACGACAATCACTCTTGTTAAGAGGAGGATTCTTCCCACCAAAAAGAACATTTCGATTGTGGCCAACAGCATGGTATAGGATAAGACCACAGGCACCCAGATAAGATGACCATGACTGCATAATATCTTGCACATGCTTCCATTAACAAAACAAAATATGTTCAAAAAAGCTACATAATTATTTCAAAATATCTAACATATATTATTCTGCTTCCAAACGTATCCACTAGTTGATAAAATCTATATTCTATTTAGAGAAAACCAAATGTAAGACAAAATGATTGTTGAAAATGTCATTATGTTTTTAATGCTACAACTATATCACGGACATAAGTATTTAAAATTACAGCAAAAATTTGAGTATTCAACCATCTACTCTACATATAAAATAATAAAGAACATACAAAGAAATACGTCTACAAAATTACACATGTCTTTTGTCTTCAGAAGACCAAATGTGAATGTTCATACTGCAAGATTTCAAACACAGCATTTCTTTTCATCAGCATATAGTTGTGAAGAAGCAAGGAACTTCCTCATTCCAAGAGTGACATTAATTAACTTCCTCAATTAAGATGCATGATATAAAAGAGTACGCGAAACAAGGAGGTAAAGCTCCATGCTTCACACTTAGCCTGTTTTACTCCCAGGAAAAGATTCCTCAATATTCATTGGATAGAAGAGTGGATTGATTCCGCAGTTGATCTGGACAAAGCAGTAAAGGGGGGAGGGGAAAACCTCTGCCACTGCTGGCTATTGAATCAGTCAATCACTTTACTGACTTATCACATCTCATATATACAGTTACTGATAAAATTAATGCATGGGATAAATACCTGTATCAATGCTGCCTCATTGTATCTACGAAGACTGGCTCCAGCACTTTTAGGGTGACTTCCACCACTCCGCCCATCACGAGAGCTCTGAGTTCCACCTTGACTTGAACGAACTGTGTAACAGTGAAATGTCTTGTGCACTAACACTTCTTGCCCTGAAAAGTGTGAACAGATTTGCATGCTTAATGCTTTAAATATTTTATTGAGAATTTTTAAATTAAATAAGTTTATAAATATAACATAAAATAACAAAACATGATAATGTTCACTGGGGAAGGCATGTAAAATTACAGGCTACAGAAAAAATTTCATAGGCAATTTTGGTCCCCAGTAAAATGTATAAAACTATGGACACTCCTGAGTTATTATTAACAGAGAACTTGTTCAAATAACTGTTGATGGGACAAATAGATACACTAAGCAATTTTGGTGGGAATGAACAGAGAAGAAAGCTAGAAAAACTGTGTTGTCTGTATTGAGCATGGAAACTGGAAGAACACTATTAAGTGATGTAGGAAATGTTACATTAGCCCCTGTACTTATGTTCTGAGGATAACCACACAGCTATAGTAAAATTTTGAAGCAAGGATATAATCATTTAATCTTGACTAAAGATTTACATTAAATAATATTTATGCAAATACTGAATAATATTTCAGCGTCCTGTGGTGTTGAAGGGTTAAAGAAGCACATTATGAAGTAATGTGATTGCAGTACTAATATAATAAAATGTGACTTAACCATTCTTTTGTATGAAGGATTTCATAATGCAGTTTTAACAGAAGAAAAGCAAGGACAATGAAATATTTAAGTCCAACTAAAACGGTGGCAAACCTTCGAAAATGCTTGCAGCAAAATGACCTCCACCAAGCATAATAACAGCCCACAATGGATTAGCTACAGCCTTCAAGGCCAGTGCAATCAACTGCTCATCCTTCTCTAATTCATCCTGAAACAGCCAAGAACAACATACACACCTATTTTACATGTATTGTTGAAAAATGCCATCAGAGTGCTGAAAATAAATTAATTACTGTAGCCATTTAATAGTTTTGATCAAGAATGAAATCTAAAACTATTTGATCCATATGTCCTTGGCACTTAATTTATCTCTGGTTACCTGTCTAAATTCAAGGTATCATAATAGACTTCACAACAAACTTTACTTTTTTGGTGAGGAATTGCAAAAATGAGTTTTAAAGAAACAGAATATGAGGCAATGAACTGAACAGAAGTGTATCCAGTAGCAATTTCTTCAATTTCAAAACAGGTAACTTCCTGATGCACATATCAACTGCTGAAGGAAGACCTTGTACCATGTAGTTAGAAAGTTGAATTATCTACAAACACTATTCAAGGCACATATATAGAGATAATTGCTCTGTTCATACATTTCTCCTTTAAGACAAATCTCAAATGTTAATGAATTATAAATCAAAATCCAAAATTCACATGCCTTCTTTCCATGTAACAGGCATCGATACATAGACAGTATCTTGCCATCTTCATTTTCAAAGAAAATTTTTGCATGTCTTGCTGCCATCAATCTCAAATGTTCATGTCTCTTTTCAGCACCACTGTCATCTTGTTTATTTCCAGGAAGGGAACCAGTGGCATCATCTTCACAGCCCCTGACCTGCATCAACTCATTACTCTTGTATGAACCAAGTTTTGCAGCTGATGATGGTACAAAATCTGAACTGTCACCTTCTTCTTCACTGTCAGATTCAGAGCCTGAAATGCTTGACAGATCATCTGGAAAAATAGTAAGTTCAGAAATCACTATTAATGACTCCATCACTACACTATCAAAAACAGGTGTGCATGGATAATCCTATTTATATTGTTATTATACCAAAGCTTTATTAATGAAGAGTGTATTCTACTACATACAGTAAACCTCTTCCAGTACCTAATATATATTTTCTTTTGTATAATATACAAAACCTGGGCCATGAAAGTACATTTAATTTATGCAGTACATAAATATGTGTGCAAGCGCGCGCGTGTGCACGCGCACACACATGTGCAAGACATTTAAAATGCAGTGAAAATGCAGAAAAATAAGAGTGGCTGTTCACTACAAAACTGATTAACATTGTGAAATTTTTTTGTTCCAAACAAGAGTGTTTTAATTTTCCATAATAAAAATATTGTTTGAAGTATGTATTAGCTTTATAACTTTACATTGCTTTCACACCACAGAGCTTATTTAAATGGTTACATTTGCATAGATTGTAAATTAGTGTGTTTCAAGTACCCATTGGTCAATGTGCACAGCAGCAACAACAATTTTAAAAATAAATGTAAGTAAATCAAAAGAAAACAACTGATAAACTGCCATTTCAAGATAAATTCCCATACCTGCAAGTTGTGCAAATTTTTCTTCTGTGACAGATTTCAAACCACTCAGTTTTTGTTTCAAATTATATCTATGCCGGTCCAGCTTGTAGTGCAATCGTTGTTGAGCTCGATCTTCAAATTTTTCATTACAGAAGGAGCAGAACAATGTCTCAGATATACTTATATCTTCAGGCTTGCAGATTTTCTGGCTTTCAGCACTGTCTAAAATAAGACAAATTGGGTAAGTTTAGTTATAACATATTAATGAGTTAATTATAATAAACGTAAAATTTGGTAAACATTACAGTGTTGAGTTAAAAATAAATATAAAAAGTTAAGTAACACAGCAGTTTGATTACAAAATTAAATATAACAAATATTAGGATGATCAAATCAAGGGGGATGAGATGAAATATAAATGAAGCACTCATGGGAAAGATGAAAAATACAGAATTTTAGACAGAAACCTAAAGGGTAGAGACAATTTGGAATATATATGCTAGATGGGAAGATATTATATTGGATTTTGAATAATATATTATGAGGATAAACACCTCTTTTGGGTGAAATTTAAAGCAGAATATATTCTTTAAAGTCTTAAATAAAAACCTATTGTGGCAACAGATGTTTTATATACTTACTTGCAAGCATATCACCAATCGAATTTGATCCCATACACTGTGCTATCTTCAAACCTCTGGTGATTTTATTAAATTGTTCTGTTTCAAATATATTGTACACTTTATACTCCATAATTACTGATCAAAAGTATATGTAGTATTTCTGCTGTTTCAGTCCAGAATATTTTACTCTTACTTATGGAATTCTGAAAAACATGAGAAAAATATAGTACTAGTGAAATTTACATACTGTGATGCAACAATGCTGGTAGAGCAGTTGCCAAACAAGCTTGCCAGTAGGAAGTGCACAGAACTCAATCCAAGATTCAGAAAAGTCCGATCTGGGAGTGGAGCATGACAGTTGGCTGTATACCGACCCCGACTAAGAGTACTGGGCATACAAACCAAATTATGTTTCTGCACATTCTAGGCCACTGACAAGTATGTCTGACTTCTTCTCTATGATGAAATAAAAATAGGTGATAGAAAATTACATGTAGGTGTTCCATTTGTTTTGAATATTTTAAATATTCCAATTAAGTCCAACATATCAAAACTTCAGCCAAAGATAGCTTAGAATATTACAACTGAATAAATTAGAAAAATTTTGACAAAGAGTACTCAAAATTCGATTGAAGGAAGCTGGCTAAATTGCAAATTAATATTAGGTAAGTTACTAGCAGATGATTCAGTGTGTACACTTGTGATTCATTTCAGTTAGTACAGATCTGAATTACACTGAATTTGTACAACTTTGGATTTCAAGAATAAGATGTTAGTCTGTCAAAATTACCATAATTTCTCTCCAAGTAACATTTCATATATCTAGCTTCAATATTTTACCAAAGGCTAAATCTGTAGTTTTCATAAGTCAATCATGTTGTTTCATGTCCCTCAAAATTATATTACAATTCTTTAAATCATCTGCTTAGTTTGCAGTTTTGGTATGCTGTCCCTGTTCTTAAGCACCCTGCCATGCTGTAGTGAAGAACAATATCAATGGTTCTCCTGGATATCAAAACCTAGTCACCGAATCTACAGCCAGTCACTTACTGAGTTAACCAGGCTCAATCTGGTATATTTTCAGCAAGACAACCAATACTGGGTAATTATCAGTGAAGTACAAAACTTTATACTTATTATGTTATATTTGCTACATAAATACAAATACAGTATAAATCACACTACATAAACCAATTTTAACATTACAAAAATAAAACACAACAGATAATAAAAAGAATAAATATTAACCGCACTGTATGTACTTTTTGGTCATCTTTTATTATTACACAAATTGTGAAAAGTGACAATACTTTCAAAAGAGACACTGAAGCAGATGATAACAGAAAATAGAACTTTACTCCTAAAGCAACATGCAGAACAAAAGACATTAGTCAGCTGTTATAATGGGCCTACAATACAATATTTAATAACTCACAGGTACAATAACGATTAAGAAGGTTCACTAAATTCTAGAAATCACAACAATAAATAAATAAAAAATATTACAAATACACATATTTTTCACTCTTTCTGAACATGATTACATGGAACTGATCTTCAAAATAAGGTGTATAGAAAAAGATTCCACTCAAGTAACTGGAAGAACATTATTTAACAGGTCAAGTTTCAATGTTTATTGTTTAGTGAAGAAGAAAACTGGGTCAAAACAAAGCAAAATATACGACATTCTGGAACCAAATAAAACAACTTCATATAAGGTTACGAATATGTTCTCCATAACAAACAATTTTTAAACACTGGCAGCAATTATAAGTCCATTCTAAACATAAAATTTGAAACTAGTGATTCTGAATGATACAAAATAATACAGCTGGGCTAGTTATAAAATGTTTAGTTCTTTCATGTGTTACAAAAGCGTCAATCTTAAATAATCAGTGGACATATAAATGCATACTGTATTAAGAGTAATTCCTGATGGTGGCAGTTTTTTCATTATTAGTAGTTCCTAGCCAATCTGTCAAAATTCTTAAATAAATAAATGATTCAATTTTGTAAGACATGCATATAATATTATCAGAAGACAAAACAAGCAGATATTCCTTGTATCATTCTTACATTATACAACATAACAAAATTAAATTTTATTCTCTCAATAGTGATAATGTATACAAAGCTTTACATACATAATTCATATACTGATATTACAATGTTCAATCCATTCAAGTAAATTTATTTTACCTCTACGAGGAAGAACCTAAAATATTTCCAACACCTCAACCAATATATTAATTACAGTATTCAATTTACTTACATTTAACAAATGTTGTTTGTTAAATTGTTAATGTCTGATTGCAAAAGCAATGAATCTAAAATGTGCTCTTCCACAACAAATATACAATTACATTACTGTGTTATGTACTCTCTTGCCATATCAAACTTTCTAAATCTGACAAGTGCCTGGATCCAGATATGTATTTTGCTAAAATCAGTACAATTCTGCAAGTTAACACTGCACGACAAAACATGACATACTCACGTTCTTCCAAAGAAAGAAAGAAAGCTGATAACTTATCTCTACTATAAAAAATTCAGGACTCAGTTTCTGTAGAGGTTTTATTGTCAGCTGTCATGGCATGAAGAGGAGGAGGGAGTGGTCTTTTCTGAATATGCTACTGAAGTCCACTTTCAGTCTTATTAGCTGATAAAGCAATAGCTTCTCTGCAAAATAGTCTAACGTTAAGTAAAACTGAAAGTTGCACCTCAGATGTCAGTTTGTAAGTACAAATCATACTTTTATCAATTCACAATATTTTCCTTTTGTTAACCAGGCTTGCAGACGTTCTAACGTGATGACAAATGACATTACTTCCAGGGCCTTTGTATGATGAAGCTCTAATACCAATGGAAGACCATCAGAAGAAAGACGAGGAAGCCATTTACAATAGCTATAATATAAACCAAGGGGAATCTGGAGCTATGTTGTTTCCTGAGAAAAGAAAAGCATTATGTTGTATTTCATGTGTAAGAATAAGTTGGCACATAATCACAAAGCAGCATTACAAGAAAATATGTAACACAAAAAAGACAAGAAAGAAAAGAAAAAATGTATACATAATAAGACCACAACAAAAACAGAGTTTTTCAGTTGTAGTAAGATCACAGAAACTTGACCAACAAAACCCAGAATAAAATGTCCCTCACCAGTGATAAAGAATGTGTTGAAATACATAACATTCAGTTATCCAACAAATGGTAGCAAATAATTTCATTTTGTAGAAAATAAAAAAATTATGGTGAGTCTATTTTGCAACAATCAAAAATTTAACATTTTTAGTCATAAACATTCCTGTGTTAAGTAGACTTCCTCTGACTTAAGTACTTTAAGAAACACAGTAATTGTAAAAAATCAATTTTTTAAAGTAATTAAATATTCATAAATGGCATTTGGCTTTCTCCCATTTAGGACTCAAGGACTGAATTTGACAAACACAGTGCTTTCCTTACTAATTTTGTATGTAAATTAAATAACTATGCTAACTAACTAACTAACTAGATGGCTTATGAAACTCAAAGGTTCAACACTAAATTAACCAAAGCCCTCCACCAGACCCTGTCCTGGGCAAAAAATAACTATGCTACCTTTCAATATACATACCTGTTTTTTGTAGGTGAGAATGGGGTGGGAGGATTGATACCTGGAATGTAACTGTCAATGTAAATTATATTCCAAGTCAGAATAGTCACACCTATTCCAGCAAGCAATGGCAATAACAGCCATTTCAAATGATCCACATAATCTCTCACAACACTGTTGGATGTCAGAAGCAACTCTGATATCTTGATCTTATTATCATCACTAAGAAGTCTGTATGTCCCAAATGATGATGTGGCCCAATATGTTTTACAATGAACATATGAGTTTTGAAAAAATTCTCCTGCAAACAGATATGTGTTACCATAATTAAATATTAAAGAAAACAGCTGGCAATCTTCACAATATTGAAACTGAAGCAGTTTTTTCTGTACTTTCATGAAAAGACTAAAAAAGTAAATTCTATTTTATTTCTTACAATCTTTTTCTAATAAACTGAAGAGTAATATTTCTATAGCCAAAATTTATAAATATGTATAATTTTGGTATTTAAATAAATACATTTTGTACATCATACAGGTTCACTTACACACACACACACTCACCCAGGTGTTTAAAAGTTTCTGCAAAATGCAACATTTTGTATACAAAATTGGAAAGGTGTCATCCATACTAGAATACACACATGCATACTTTGCTAATTCTGAATTATTAATAAAAGCTCTGTCAATTATCTTGCTTGTAACTGTTCAGTTTCCAAATTTCCAGATCATGCAGTATTAATGTTTTATTTAAGGAAAATAAGTTAAGATTGGTGCATCACAAGGCATGTTAGCAAGGTGGTAGTAAACTGGGCTTGCATGCATGGGGTCACAGGATTAAATCATTTTTCTTTCCTGAAGCCACCATTGTGTTATTTTACGTGGCACAAAGAATTTTATCTCCCAACTTATCGTATTTTTCGAAATTCTGCAAACATACATCACTGTATGGACCTATTGAAAGTGGCGCTACTAACGAAACTCACAAATTTGTTCGTCCGTCATGTTGGCATTACCGATTGTAGAAAATTTAAAAATGCTATTTGGAGTTGTCCCCAACAGCATAACGTCACTAAATTTCCATCGAATCCGTCATGCGGTTCTCGAGTTAAATCTTGCGAACTGAGGCAGGGCCAGATCTATGTGTTAATTTCGTGCACATCATGCAATATCAAAGGAGCACACCAGAATGCATTCCTTAATCTTATTCATTGCTCAGAATGATCCTACAGTAGTCACAACAGCGCCACCAAACACCCTAACATATTCCAGCGTTAACTGAAGCAGTTATAACTGGTCTGTACTCAAAGCCTTAACACCTCGCTAACAGCTGTGAACGTATTATATTATTAAGAGTTTTGCTCATATATTTCACAAACCGATTTATACATAATTAAAGTTATACTTACTATTTACAAGCACCAGTTTGCTGCATACGATAATGAAGGAAACGTAAAACAAAAAGAGGGCCAACTTCAACTCTGTACAGTAACGACGAGCTGCTTTGTGGTCTTCATTTGAAAAGGATAAATCATGGCCATTCTGAACGTGTGATTCTTCTTTGTACTTAGTAAGATATTGTTGACGTTTCTTGAACATTTTCACGGATCACAAGTTCCAACGAAAACCCCCTTAAATGTCCCAATTCTTATAATGCTAAATGTTAGTCAAAAGAATTGCTAAAGTCCCAGTCCTGATGATTAGCTGCTTTCCTGTGCCATAAACCAGTGCATTATCGAGTAAAAATATTTAATTGTATATTTAAACACGTACATTCAACTTGCATTCTTACCTAAATAAATTCCTCAGCGACACACAAACAACACCTGCAGTTGGTCCGATTTGCACATGCGCCAAGATGGTTGCATTCTATTGCGTCACATGTACTTTCACTCTTATTCCCACGTGCTTTTGTTGACGCTACTTCAACGTTAACAACATTACAACATCTGAGCACGCCCAGTGAATCACACTTCACTTACCACCAACCGCTTAGTCTTCTTGTGCTCAGATAACCAGTAGGTCACAGTGTGGTGCGGTGACATAATGGCGGCACAAGATGAGGTTGGAATTGTTGATTTCGTCCTCTTGGATGAAATTACGCTTGACAAGTTTATGGATAATCTCCGAAAGAGGTAAAAATAAAAACTATTATGTGCTCTTTATATGTATATATATATATATATTGTGTGATTATAAACTTTTTTCTGTAATTTAACACAATGTGACATAGCTTTCACTGTCTTTTGCCTGCCTGAGGGCGTGGCCATAGTAGCAGGTGGTTAAAAAAGAAAAAGTGTGACCAAAGTAAGAGCACATTGAAACGTCTTTTAAATTACATCATCGAGTCTTTTACGTAATCATAATGAGTGGAAATGTGCAAAACCAAAGTACACTAATGTTTAGCTGTCAATGAATCATTTCGTTCAATGACATCACACCTGTGGCATGCGTTGCCACCAGCTCCCTGCTTTATAACCCTTTTTAAATACTGTTGGAAAAAATAAAACATTTCTTTTTTGCCAATTTTATGATTCCCTCAACTTCTAATTTAAGACCAATGACAAAATATCAAAACAATGAAAAAGAAAATAATGCATGTAATGTGTTTTATGTCATAATATATATCATCATCATTATATTGTGATATAAAACACACATCATCATGATGGAGGCAGCAAGGACCTCTGAAACATTGGTAAACTTATACCAGACATAACACTACAAACCAAGAGACAGCTATCTTCAGCACTGTAACAAAGTTTATTATTGTAATCGTGGAGGAACAAAATGCTGTGAGATGATTTCTGAACATGTATTAATTTTAAATACTTGAGCCTTTTGAGGCTACTAAATGCAATAAAATCCTCACTGGCAGCAAGCCACGTAGGGACTGGTTTGATTTTGATGTGGCTTGTCACCCAAGACAATTTTATAGTATTGGTGTATTTATTTAAACTAGGTAAGGCCTAATCCTGTATGCAGATTGAACATAAACAGTGGATTTGAAGAGGACAGCCAGTTGACTATACATATTATTCTACCATTTAACATTCAGACTACTTCTTCTTCTTCTTCCATTTCTTGACCGTTACTTCGGTCTTCCGGTGCTAATATTTTCTTCCATTCTTCTGTATTTTCCAATCTTTAAAATGTGTGTTAAAGAAAAGATTCCAAGACCCAGTTTCCAGACTAGTGCCATCAAATGAAGGAAGTTGTGAAATGTGCAAGAAACATTTGGAAATCAGTGCTTTATACCTGTGAGGAAGGAAATGTAAACTGGGTTTTATATATGAAGTATTTGAGGACCAGAGTATAAAAAAATCTGTAAAATTTTAAGAGATGTGATCAAGAAAGCTAATAAATTGTGTTATTTTGTAGGTTCAAAGGAGGAAAAATTTACACATATATTGGAGAAGTATGTGTTTCTGTGAATCCATACCGCACAATGAATATCTATGGCCCTGAACATGTGTCTCAATACAAAGGTGAATAACAATTTTATTTTTAAATTGGAAAACCCCTTTGTCATTCTATAATGACTCACAATCAAGTCATTTATTTAAAAGCTATACAAATGAGTGGTCATATTGAAAATTAAGTTTCTAATTATCCAATAATAAACCCTGATTAACAGTACCATTTGCACAAAAACTTCCTATCATACCCAACACTGAGCTAGTTTCCATCCTCATAATCTGTTTTGTCAAGGCCCATTTTAATATTATTCTACCACCTCTTTCTAAGTCCACTTTTCAAATATGTTTTCTCTTCAGAATTATATATTAATATACTGTTTATTCCATAAGACTTACTTGTTAATGTTGATTTTTTTTGTAACGTGCTTGATTTAACAAGTATAATTTAGCAAACAATTCAGTTATGCCTCAGTTTTTCTGTAATGTGGGGCTTTTGCTTTGATATAGTGTATTTGCTTGCTTCCTACTCTAAAGATATTCTCCATGCCTTTTTTATGAATTCTTAAACATTTATTATTATGTACTGTAATATAGAAGAAATACAATTACATGTTCTCATGTATTTTACACGTTTACTTTATTGTATGCAAAATGGGTGAAAATGTACATGAATTTAATCAGTAGACCCTATAAACAAGCATGAGAATATTTAAACAGATCATCAAACATAGAAAATATTACATCATAACATTTTGTTTATATCTGTGATATGAAGTTAAAATGTGTGTACCTAATATTAGCACTGTTTAACCTTCAGGTTCTATTACCAAAGAGTTTGGTTAGGCTGGTTTATTTTTCTGAGTGGCATATTATTATTTAATGTTGGAACTGTGCACATTTGCTTACACTTTCATGACCAAAAGTTCCAGTTCATTTTTAATTTGTTTGTGTACATCGATTATCTAGCTGATATTGAAGATGATTATAAAATTTTAGACATTCGTTTTTAAGAAAATGTTTATTTTAATGTAATTTATAGTAATATAAGATTATATTTGTGTAGGTAGAGAATTATTTGAAAATCCGCCTCACATTTTTGCTATTGCTGATGCTGCTCATAAAGAGATGAAACAGCAAGGTCGTGATACATGTATAGTCATCAGTGGTGAATCAGGAAGTGGAAAGACGGAAGCTTCCAAGATTATAATGAAATATATTGCTGCAGTCACCAATGTAGGTGGACGACAAGAAGTTGAGAGGTAATTAATATGACAAATTTACTCACATTCAGAAACTAGAAATGTGTAACATGTTAAGTCCAGTTAAAGGGTATTGCCTTGTGTGTGTTTGTTGTTGTTCCCACAAAGTAAAGTTTGAAAAGAAAATTGTTTAAAATTATTGTGAAATATTAAATAGTATGTTTAAATGTTTTCAGTTATTGACATTTACAAAAAATATATATAGGAACTATGAATTTCTCAGTTTGCACATGGTTGTCTTCTGGGTTGTTGCGCTGTGTAGTCTGGTAGAAGTTTACTGACTTTTCAGAGGTCCTTGCTGCCTCCATCATCAGGGCACTCATCGCCTGATGATGGAGGCAGCAAGGACCTCTGAAAGGACCTCTGAAACGTTGGTAAACTTCTACCAGACTACATGGCGCAACAACCCAGAAGACAGTCATCTTCAGACTCACCGCCATGAAAAGCTCAAATCCTTCTCAGTTTGCCCTGCAATGAAGATTTTCTTAAGTCTTATTGGCCAAAAATAATATGAGCATTTTATTGGAACATTTTTACATGCTGCATGTCCAAAGGAAACTTGAGTCACTGACTTACTAACTGAAAAAAAATCTTGAAACATTTACATACAAAACAATTAATATGTATAATTAGGAAAATAATAAGTGTCATGACACCTTCAGTATGTATAATGTGCCAGTCTTCATATTTTTAACTTCTCATTTTTCAGCTGAAATCTATAAGTTTACAATACACTTTGTACTTATTTCCACAGTTTTAATGTTTTAAATTTTAAACATACATACCTTCACATTCCAAACTCAGGACTTCTTGAATTTGGTTACAGAATAAATATATGAATGTTGGATTGAAACATTTTCTGAATCCCAATGCTTGATTCAGTTTTTTATCAGTTGTGACAGTAAACCATATACTTGTAGTAACATGGCAGCATATGTGATAAATATTATAATGAGTCAAGCATAACTCTGTATTCAGAGAGAGGAATTATAAGGTGTACTGAGTAATTCTGAAGTAGTTTCTGTAGGATTATTATATCATGCAAATGGACACATATTTTTCAATTTTTCTTTATGTCTGCTTTAAAATGTGGCATCATGTAAGTTCATCCATTGTCACATTTAATGCAGTACATTTGAATATGTAAATGCGTGTGTTACATGCATTTAAATCAGCTAGTCTGAGAGCATCAATATATTGGATTTAAATTACACAGAAAAGAGTTTTACTGTGGATATTATTGTGACACATAAAATATATAAATGGCATATTTAATTGAATTTAAGTAATGTTTTTAAACATTGTACAGATCAGGAAGTCAGGGAACATTGATTTCTATTGAATGAATTTTTTGTTTATTTCAATACAGAGTAAAGAATGTCCTTCTTCAGTCAAATGCAATTCTGGAAGCATTTGGCAATGCAAAAACTAACCGTAATGACAACTCATCTCGGTTTGGCAAGTACATGGACATAAACTTTGATTTCAAAGGTGATCCTATTGGAGGTCATATTAACAATTACCTTCTTGAAAAATCTCGCGTAATCTTGCAGCAGATTGGGGAACGGAATTTTCACTCATTTTACCAGGTGAGTAACAAACAAAGGTTATGTAGGTCTTCATAACATGTAAAAATAACTGTCATTTGTGCTTGGGAAGGTATCTCCGAGGATCTTAAATAATTCTTCTTGAAAATGTAACTGCACTCTTTGTAATGTTGTATGGTATAATATTCATTCACTCAGCTGTATGTTAATGATTACATGACGTTTGTCATTGTCTTTATTAGTCCTACTAGGCAGAATGTGAGATAGTACCTTAAATTAAGCCATGATGAGTTTTTTCCATGTCCTTTGCAATTTGCTGACAGTGTTGTTAAATCAACCACAAATGTATAAAATATAACATGAAAATGTGGTAAAGAAGTATATGAATTAATTTAAAGTGAAGCTTATGAATGAAAGATTTTTACTGAAGACAGATGATACTGCCATTGCAGAGGACATTGGTAATATTGGGATTTCATTCCCCTATTCCCATACATTAAAAGTTAAGGTACATTTCAGAATGCCCTTGTATAAATACAATTAAGGTTATGACATTATCTTCTTGTGGTTGAACAGAATTTCTGAACTCTTGAGCATATATCCTTTCAACTTATCAGGTTTTTACAGGTAATCTTATCATATGAGACCTTAGTGTTATCATGGCTGTTATGTCTGTGACAGATTGGGTGTTGATACAGTTTCAGTTGTTGATTGCTATGTAATACCATTGTTATCTTAATTAAATCTTTTTGTCAGTTTCTCTGACATTATTTACTGTAATGATAAAATTAATTTAGTTTGCTTTTAAGTACTGTTGCTAAGTGAAGAACTTTCCTTCCGTTTATGTCATGGCATACAAGAATATGACAGCTAGCCACAATGGTGTGTGATAACACTTATCACAGTTCTGTCCTTGCTTAACATTTTTCCAGTGATAAAGCTAAAAAGATACATACTAAAAACAACATATTCTTCAATACTAGTGTGTTACATGGAAGTGGTTCCATGGTTCCTTTAGTTTTCTTTCCTTTAATAAGGAAATTATGAGGTATTCACATAATTTGATTCCAGCTGATCTCAACCCACAGACAAGCAACTTTTAACCATTTTTACAAACACTTAATTTAAAAGACCTGTATATATGTTGCCTTTGAGTTATGAAAGTCAGGATTGTTTTGGCAGTTTTTTCGGTTACAATGGCTTGCTCCCCATTCTCACTTATAACTGATGTTGTTATATAATTTTCTGCAGATTAAAGCCCATCTGTCCAGTTGAACTGATATCCTTATGTATACAACATATTTCAACTTTACATGAACAGCATGCTGGTTTTCAGTTAAAACCAATTTTTACATTGGTAATTTCTTAATTAGCTGATTGATTATTAGCTTTTCAAGAAGAACTCTGCCCATGTTCAGTAGAATTAGTTATGTATATAATGTCATTTGTGAGCATGAGTGATGCATTAGAAATGGTTGATTCTACATAGCGTGTAGCAAAATTGGTTTCATCTGTTCTTTTGTTCATTTAGATGTGTGTCTTAATCTTTTCTCTCCATGTCATAATTTCTAACTGAAGCTGTATTAATTTTAGTTTGTCTTCAATTATTATTTAATATTTGCAGCTGTTGAGAGGCTTGACTGAGTCTGAATTGAAAGCCTATCAGTTGTCTCGTGACCCAGATGCCTATTTCTATACCCAGCAAGGGAAATCATCCAAAGTGAATACCATTAATGATGGGTCAGACTACAAGGCTACAAATTCTGCTTTTAAGACACTAGGCTTCTCGAGTTCAGAAATAAGCACAGTATGGAATACTGTAGCTGCCATTCTCCACTTGGTGAGTAAGAAGTTCTTTCAGGTATATATTGAAGTAGAAATGCTGGTATTAGCTAAATATTATTAAGAATGTGGCACTCTAGTGTATAATTCTTTAGCTGATTCATCTAGAATATCAGTTAATATAAATTAATGAATAAATTCACTTTTAACAAGTGACTTCCATGTTTATGCTGTTTATTGGGAGGAAGCAAATTGTTTTATTACACTGTATCTTTTCACATGGAGTTACTTTTAGTAGTGCATGGTAATCATTAACGTATGTCACATACCACAGAACAAGCACTGTAGTTGTCTTTCATTACTGCTTATACATGCTGTCCAGATTACTGCTAGAAATTGAAAAGTGTGAACTTTAGTTAGCCTCCATTGGCATGAAGACTTTATATCAAATTTCATGTAAGGTTATTAAACACATACAAATGGTCCATGTTTATAAAATAATAAAACAGTGAAATGAATGTAGAATTCCAGAAAAAATTAACTTTATAAAGATATACATATATGGTTACATATTTTGATATTTTGTTACAATTTTTATTTAAGGCTCCAAGCTAGAGGTCAGTCAGCAACCACTTATTCAAATATCCACACCAATCCCCATATCTGGAAGCTGTCTCTCTGATCCGCAACTTGGGGACATGCCGTTATTTTTATTTCCTACTGTTACGATGAGGTTTGACTGTGTCTCTTTGGAACTGCAGCCACTGAGGGGCCCATTTTCATTCCTCCAGATGATACATGAATGGGGAAAATCAAATAAAAACTTGTGCCATTGCCATTTTGTCCACCACAAATCCCACATATATTGCCCTGAGAGCAAACCCTGTCCTTCATGGTTAGAATCTAGCCTCTAATTGCCTGTACTGTAGTGTGGCCAAGAACATGCTATGGTGTAGTTATAATGGTCAAGGATATTCAGTAAATGTGCTCTTCACCAAAAATTATTAAGCTGATTAAATCAAGGGAGATAAGGTGGATGAGACATGTAGCACAAATGGGAGAAATTAGAAATGCATACAAATTTTAGTCAGAATACATGAAGGGAATAAACTACTTGGGAGATCTGTATGTAGGTAGGAGGATGAAATTAAAATTAATTTTTAAAAAATTAGGCTGTGAAGAATTCAACTGGTTTATGATAGGGTCCATTGGCAGGCAGTGATCACAGTAATGAACCTTTGTATTTCATAAAATGGCTGGGAATTTCTTGAGCATTCCATCTGGTGTTTGCTGGGGAAAAAGGACTCTGTTCCATTGAGTTAATTGTACGCGTAATAAACATCTTAAATAATATAAATCCACTTATTTATTTATGAGTACAGAAATCCTCAAGTAAATTACACACATCATAAAATGAGTTTTATAATTAATTGCCACAACAACATTATCTTTCTCTTTACTGTATCTTCTTATGCACAGGGAAATGTGACATTCAAGAGCCAGGAAGAGTCTACTAAACCAGCAGACATCAATGTTGTGAACAAGGCAGCAACCATGTTCAGTGTAACTTCAGGAGAACTTAGCAAAGCATTGAGTGAACGAGTAATTGCAGCCCGTGGTGAAGTTATGAAAAAAATGCATACATTACATGAGGCAGAGTATGGAAGGGATGCTCTGGCTAAGGTGAGTCTAATTCATTTATTGAACAGATGAAAATGAGTTGTATTTAATAACAATTTGATGCCTGTTGATCTTACATTGATAGGGTCCAGTGGAGGGCATTGGTGAGTTCAGTGATGAACCTTCGAGTTCTGTAAGCCATCTAGTTATTTGGTCACTGTCTGGTCCCTATAAACCTAGTCCTTTCCGCTCGATTGTCTCATTCATTGCCCTGATGACGGAGGCAGTATGACCTCTGAAACGTTGGTGGACATCTACCATACTACGTGGTGCAACAACCAAAAAGACTGCAATCTTAAACAAATATTTTCTTTGAACAAATGAAATTCGCTGAGCTCACAAGTGGACCTCGTAGCATTCTAACAATTATTGCTTGTGGATTTTGCTATATTTTTGCTAAGATAAGTGTTTAGCCTTGTAATTATGTTTTTAGTTGAAGTTTATATAGTGCTTATTATAGTTTTTTGTTATTTTATTGTATATAGGTTTAGTTTTCTTTTAGATTTTTCATTTAGCAATGACTGGTCCAAGGTCAAGAATAGATGATACCAATATTTTAGATTATTTGATACTATAGATAGTGATAGTGACTTTATTCTGGAAAGTGAGTCTGATTGTAATGAAAGTGCCCCAGAAACAACAGGCCCACCTTCTGATTCCATGTTCGACATTGAAGAACATGACATGAATAACAACTACAGGGTATCAGATAACAATACAGACACCAAACTTATATAAAATTATGCAGAAATTAATGTTCTTTCTTGCAGGATGAGTGATGAAGAAGGAAGACAAAGCACAATTATGATTTTACCTCCTGAAAATTATTTTTTTAAATATTATTTTTCAATATTTCAAAATTTTTTGTAAGTTGAGTATAACATTAGAATTTATGAGATTTCTTTTCTAATCTACAGTACAGTATCTACAGATTTTTTTCTTAGGAAATTCCTGTGCATACATTAGTTTTATGTAAAAATGTTATATAATAATGAATAAATAATTTCAGGCTGTGTATGACAGACTCTTCACATGGATTGTTGGGAAAATTAATGCTGCTTTGAATGTGCAAGGTGAATTAGGAAAGAAGTCATACATGGGAACAGTAATTGGAGTTCTGGATATTTATGGCTTTGAAATCTTTGATGCCAATAGCTTTGAACAATTCTGTATAAATTACTGTAATGAGAAACTACAACAGCTTTTCATTGGTAAGTAACATGTTTGACCATAATATGTATTATATGTTCTTAAAGTGACAGGTGTGTTAGGAAGCATGATCAAACTTCTTGCCATGTTACAGTGTACATTCTGGCTTTTCAAATGCAGTTTAATAGTATTAGATTGTGCCAGATGTTTTATATCTATCATTGCCCGTTGCGGTTTGTGCCAATATGCTCTTCAGGAATTCATAAGTTTATGACTGTGTAATGATTGTGAAGAAACTACTTAATGATCTAGTGCTGCTAAGTATCGTGGTCAAATGGTTACATCGTGTCCACCATATCTAGGTACATGGACTGGATGATCAGGTAGGCCATTGAGATTTAGCATGAACAGGGAGGATGGCTAAGGATCTGCCTTGACTGACTGGTTTCTATATCTGAAACTGATTTCACGCACATGAATTCTTGGCTGACCACAGTCAAGGGCTTACATTTCTGTGACTGCACCAACAAAAACTCATTCTTGTGAAGGGTCAGATTTCTGTACCACAGTTCCTTTCTAGCATTGTGCTCCTCAACATCTGTTATATTGTGGTGGTAAGTCTTTGTCCAATAGGTGCAATATGACTTTATTATCTGCACTCAGATCGGATAAACTGCCTATCCTGATCGACAAAACATGTTGAGCATTCTCTCACGGGCCCAACTTTATGTGAATTGTCTGGGCCATTGTGCATGCTTGCATTGATCACAGACTCACAGCTTACTTAGTGCCCTGATGAAGGGGGCAGCAAAGACCTCTGAAACATTCATAAACTTCTATTACACTGTACTATTGAAAATATGAGACAGGCTGACTGCTGGACAATTGTAATTCTGTATGTTGACCACCCTTGCATAGGATCTGGGTATTAGTGAATTTATTGTCTGCAAAAATAAAATTGGTACTGTAATATAATATTCTAACATTTCTTTGCTTTCAGCAATGTTTTGGAGTTCAAAGGTAAATTTTTTTGTGTTCTCTTTGTATAGCCTGTGCATGTGCTGAGTTTTGAGATGATAATGTAGAGTGCTGTGAGTTAAAGTTGCAAGAGTAAGTCTGTGATGTATCAGAAATATTATGTGTACCCTATCCCTTGCAGACACTTTAAAATTGTTGCACGTTTATTACCTGTGTTAGATTTTGAGATCCCTTTCTGTTGTTATAAACAGCATAATCCTTAATTATTACATTTTGTTTTGCAACAGTGTTATGATTCTGTATTACATTTTATGTTGTACTACTAAAATTTGCATTACATTTCACATAGTTTGTACTACAGAAAATCTCGCCATGTCAGCAGCCAGTTGGCCAGCTCTGATCATCAGCCAAATGTGTAAATGTTTTAAATGTTTAAACATTAATTCTGATAGTTGTGAATTATATATTTCTTTAATGTGTTTAATAGTTATCTGTATTTATTATGTACTATAAAAATACATGACCATGAAATGTATTTCTCTTGTATAGCTGGAAATGATGGATGATGGAAGAATGAACTTCTCCATGGTGAAATTCAGGGGCTACAAGTATTTAACTCTCTGTGGGATTTCTATACTGTTGTATTGTGTCTCAGTGGAATCCTGAAGTTTCTTCTTTGAGAATTTATTTCTCTCAAATTGGAAATATACATTTTTCTAGATTGACATATAATCAGAAGTATCACTTCATATTTCCCCCTCCCACTTCTCTTTACTTTGTCATCTCTCCATGAAATAATGGTGTATTGAAAGAATGAAATACTACTTTATTTTCAGTCACATCTGGAGCTCATACTGACCTAAGCAAGTATTGTGTTAAGTAGGATTTGAGGTTTTCATGGCAGTGAGTCTGAAGAAGGCTGTCTTCTGGGTTGTAGTACTGGTAGGAGTTCACCAATGTTTCAGAGGTCCTTGCTGCCTCCATCATCAGGGCAATTAGGATAATGGAGGCTGCAAGGACCTCTGAAACATTGGTAAACTTTTACCAGATGACATAGTGCTACAACCCAGAAGTGTCAATTACACGTTTATATTGTTGTTTTCTAGAGCTTGTACTGAAACAAGAACAAGAGGAATACCGTCGTGAGGGCATTGAGTGGAAAAATGTTGATTTCTTCAACAACCAAATCATCTGTGACTTGGTGGAACAGCCTCACAAGGGTGTCCTTGCAATTTTGGATGAGGCTTGCCTAAATGTTGGAAAGGTTACTGATGAGGTATTACACCATAATATTTTGTCTTTAGATATTTTAGATTAAGTAAGGTAAACTTCAACTGTACACTGAAAAAGAGACTTAGGACAGATTAATGATGATGCATTTATGCTTTGGTCATAAAAATTATGTTACTTGATAGAAAACTAAAGATAGTTAGTTATTTTAGGGCTCTGCAATCTTTCATTACATTTGTTTTCTGTTTCTTTTCCAGTCCAATTAACAGTTTGATAAATTTAATCCTTTTCTGGTATTTAAAGGTATTATTTCAGCATAGCAACCTTAATTTATATGTGTTACAACAGCTGGATTTTGCTTCTCCATATTTCCAAATATCATCCTTCCATAATTATTACAAGAGGATAAAAGGGTCATCTTGACAGCCTTAATGTAAAGTCACATTCACATAATGTAGCATTAAATGCAAGTACACAAATGAAATAAACATTTCTGAAGGAATCTGTTGTTTTCAGATGTTGCTTGAAGCCATGGACAAGAAGTTGGCTGGTCATAAACATTACACAAGCAGACAGCTGAGTCCCATGGACAAAGAACTGAAACACAAAGAAGAATTTAGAATCAGGTATGCTTTAAGTCAGTTAACTCTTGAAGTACAATTTGTTTTAAATCATTACAGTCTTATATTCAGTTCTGACACAAGTAGAGACAGAATTAGGAAAAAGTCTCTAAACTGAGAAAATGTGTGTATACCCTTTTAAGGGCTTCTTTCTTACACCATAATTCAATTAATCAAACTTTCACATATATGTAAGAAATTAGGTAATATAGGGTTGTCACTGGGTATTTAGAAGTTTCCCGAAGTGGAGAAAGCATAGATAGCTCCATTTTATTTTGAAGTGTTTCATTCATAATGAATTTGTAGTCTGTTGCTATTCTGAAGGAAATATTTGAATTCAAACAAATTAAATTTGTCTTCAACAGACACTATGCAGGAGATGTAGTGTACAATATCGATGGATTCTTGGATAAAAACAAGGATACATTATTTCAAGACTTCAAACGCCTTTTACACAATTCATCAAACAAAATCATCAGTGACATGTGGCCAGAAGGTGCCATGGACATTACTAAGGTAAATAGTTCATTTCATCTTCAACCTTTTAGCATCTGGTTGTAGCAAAGTGTAGAAACAATACTTGAATTCCTTCTGTCCAAAACAGTCATAAGTAAGTTTGATGAGGAAGATCTATATGTACTATCCTAATCATATTCTGTATTTATTTCCTTAATTTGGCAGTTGTTTGTGTTCACATCATTGTCAGCTTGTGTATGTATGGAATTGGTTAATTGATTATCATTTCCTCCTTGAGATAGCATATGGTATAGGTAAAATATTTACTATTCTTCTTCCATTGTTAGTCTCTTTTAAATACATCTCTTGTTTCCTGTCTCCCATTGTAGTTACACTAAAACTTGAAGCTGTTGTCAGATATGTTTGGTTGTTGTACCATTTCATGAAACCTTAGGAAACTGCTGTTATCTGTAGCAACAAAGCTTTTTTGGGTTACACTGAATTGCCTATTTTTGTAAACCTTTCCTTTCTTGTAGACAACAAAGCGTCCTCTGACAGCAGGAACATTGTTCCGCAGTTCAATGATCAATCTAGTCAAGACCCTGACCAGCAAGGAGCCATTCTATGTGCGTTGCATCAAACCAAATGAAGTGAAATCTCCTTCATTGTTTGATGAAGAAAGAGTCAAACATCAGGTGTGCTACCTTGGACTAGTCGAGAATGTTCGAGTCAGGAGAGCCGGATTTGCTTACCGACAACGCTATGACAAATTCCTAAAAAGGTATTTTTGAATCTAAATAAAAATCTCCATGGAGATAGAATATGAAAATTATTTGTTTTTTGTTTATTTAATGGTGCTGTCTTTATATTTGTTTGGGAAGACTGAGGAAAAGTGTGAAAAATCTCATGTTAGTCAGTCTCTGGTCTGACATTTTGAACTCAGGATCCCCAAATTATGAAGCAGGCATGCTAACGTCTCAGCCATGACATTTGATAATAACATGATCCTAATAGGCAATTTGTCATTAATTTTCTGTATTTGATTTACAGGATATTATTTCCCTAACAAGCCATCTATAATTTAAGAATGAATCTTATTTTTACACTTGATCATTCAATAATTGTTGATGTTTAACTTATATGCTAATTATATTTTTCATGGATTATTGGTTTATTTAACAGGTAAATTTTGGCACATGAACACTAATAGTGCACATTTGACAAGCCGAATAGGCACAAGAATTTAATCTCCTGTAAATCAGTCATATTTTTGATATGCGTGTCTGGCATGATACCTTCAATGTGTTTCTTGTTGTTCTGGTACTCTTTATTGTGCTAGTGCTGTACTTCTTTTAATGCTCCTTTTTGTTCATGATAAAGAGAAACATTAATCTTGTCTTCAGTGCAGAGACAAATTACATTTTTATCACACTTCTCACACATTAATTACAACTTACAATAGTGAAAATATGGTTTTGATGGATTCTGCAATAGAAATCACATTTTAGAACTGGGACCAGACCCACAGAAATTAAGGTGTGAGAAACATTCTGGGTATGAACATAGAAGTTCATAGTGTGTTCAACTTTGTGGTGAAGGGAAACTTTACAAGAGTTGTAAACTTGTGTTATATTTGTTAATAAGCACGCGCTGTTTGAACTATATATAATTGTTTCCAGATATAAGATGATATCCCAGTTCACATGGCCCAACTTCAGAGCAGGGTCGGATAAAGATGGGACTCGTGTGCTGATTGAAGAACGAGAATTTGCACATGACGTCAAGTATGGAAATACAAAAATTTTCATTCGTTCCCCTGCAACACTGTTTGCTTTAGAAACGGTAAGACTTTGCAGGTTTATGTTGTACTTCAAGCTTAAATAGAATTGCATGTTGGTGGTTTCTTCCATATTCTGTTAAATGATAGTCATTTTGGATTTTGTTGCATCTCTATTACTTGTTGTGTTTTCAAGAGAAAGTTTCTTCATATAAATGTCAGCTTCATTCATTCTTGACATTTAATATGTCTCTTGGAAGTTATGATAGTAGCTACTTGGGGAAATGTGAAAGCATATATCAACCGGCCATTGAAGACTAGACCAAAACACTTCATTAACATGGAGCATGTTGACACTGTTTACTTTTAGATAGAAGCACTGAATTACACTGATAGCTTGGAATATGTGTTGCACTTGCAGTATGATGTTTATAATTTGTTTACACATTCAAGTTAGAACATAATGGCCTCCCATAAGAAAGCTTATTAAAATATATTACAGTGTTGTGACTGCAAGGTGCAGCAGACAAACAGACAGACATGATATGGCTGTAAGGAATTTGTTGCATAGGCATAACGAATGTCTACAGAAGCTACATGTGTTGCACCGCTGAGTTGATTTTGATTTGAAAATTTTGGGCTTGCAATTTTGTATCTATCCCAGAATAAACTTCCATGAGCTACATTTGTTTCAGAGAAGTAAATTAAGCAGTCTCCCACATCCTTTTTGGCTTCCATTGTTTATTTATACACTCACTCTATGGGTCAGAATCCTTGAGAAGCTAATAATTGCTCATCTAATCAAGAAATTCCTTTCTTCTATGGTACCCAAAGTTCTTATCATAATGAAAGACTCTAAAGTTACAAGCCGCATCAGGTGGCTGAATGGTGAATGATTTATTCACTATTCAGCCACCTGACGCGGCTTGTAACTTGAGAGTCTTTCATCAAATTCGGTCCCATGAAATCTTCGCTTTATATGTCTCTTATCATGTTTACAGAATCCAGTAGACCCTATCCTGAGTCATATCAATTCGGTCCACACCACACCTTATTTAAGTTTTATTTTAATATTATCCTCCCATCTGTGCCCAGGGTTCCCAAGTGGTTTCTTGCCTTCAGGTTTTTGTGATAACTTTTCTGTGCACTTCTCATCCCTCCCTGACATGCTACATTTCATGTTATGTGTTACAGGCTCGCAGTGAATTAATCCCTGGTATTGTAATACTGCTGCAAAAGTTGTGGCGAGGCACTTTGTGTCGCATACAGTACAAGAAGATGAAAGCTGCTCTATATATAATGAACTACTATCGGCATGCCAAGATCCGAAAATACCTAGAACAGTTGCATTATGCCTTCAGGTACTGCATGTGCTTTACTATAGAGGAATTTCTTGTGACATTTTAACACTTATTTTAAAAAATAATAGGTATCTGAAGATGATCCACAACTACTTAAATCACCATTAAGGCATGACCTTTATTTGCAATTTCCTGTTCTGTTACTGCTTGTAATGTTTTTATGTCCATGGTAGAACTCATAAACCCACACAAAGTATCCTCTGAAGTTCAGAGATCAGCTGTGTACTGATACAAGTACAACACAGCTGCCATGTCTCAGATCTGGGCTGCCTCCTTGCCTGAACAGAAGTACATAGAGACATGGAGAAAATATGGAAGAAAAAAAGAACAGAAAATGGGGGAAAGAATACAAGTGAGGGAAGAAACAGGCATTTGGTAATGCTGGGTGATCTAAATTGATAGTGTAATATTATGTGATCTTATTCAAGTTTTAAGGATGTGTGCACTAAATTGACATCAATGCTGTCAATATTATAGCCATTCTTATAAATCAGTTTACATTGATTTTGTCATAACTCCTTTTACATTTGCTTCTGAACATGACTGTCATACCTGATTTTCGAATGGGTTCTTATGTTAATATTTTACATAGGCTTAGCATTTTATTTTGTCATCTTTGTGTATATGTCATTCCTGAATATAAGAAAATTGCAGGTCTCAGGAAAGTATATTCTGCAGTAAAGCTTAGACACTATACCATAGAAATATATTTATAATTTTGTTACTGAAGAGTTATATACCACATACATAGTTTAAGAAATTGGCTATTCACAATTTTACATCCTAGTCTAAATTTTAAAGGACTTACCTGTTACAGAGATGTGAAGAAAATGCATGACTATGGCAAGAGTGTGACCTGGCCAGCACCTCCACTCTCCGTTCGTCCTGTGGTGGGTACTTTGCGAGCTGTTCATGCTCGCTGGAGAGCCTGGATGATTCTCCGTGCTGTGCCACGTGCAGAGTGGCCTCAGCTTAGACTGAAGGTTTGTTTGCATTTCAAATAAAACTCTTCTAGTCCATTCTTCATACATTGATTTTAATACTCTGAAAAATATATAGATATGCTGGTATAAAAACAAGCACATCTGCCTCTCATCTATTCTGCTTGTGTTAATTTATTATGCACAAACACAAATACCATAAACAGAAATGCCAAAACGTTAATAAGTTGCAGGGAGTTTGGTCTGGAAATAAACACAAAGAAAAATAAGTACACATTCATGTCTTATCACCAGAATTCAGGACAGGATCATTTTACAAAGGTAGTTAATAAATCCTTCAAAAATGCAGCAGGTTCACATATTTAGAAACAAGTCAAAATTATCTTCATAAAGGAGTTAAGGAGCAGTTTAAATTTAGTGAATACTTGCTTCAGTTTAGTTTAGTGTTTTATGTAATGAGGAGCTCTATAATTTTTACTCCACCAATATTATTATGACAATGAAATCAAAGAGAGACCAGACTTACAGCCCACTGGGGAATATGAGAAATTCATCAACAATTTTAGTTGGATAACCTGAAGTGAAGAGGCCATTTGGGAGACCTAAGCTTGGATGGGGAGGCTAGAATTAAAATATATCTTAAAAATGGTGTGTGGGCCTGGCCTGGATTTATCTGACTCATGTTAAGGTTTAGTGGCAGGCTGTTGTGAACACAGCGATGAACCTTTAGATTTTCCAAAAAAAGGGCAAGGAATTTCCTACGCAGTATCAGCACTCAAGGACTCTGCTGTATAGAATTAGTTTCTTATAGCCACGTTTTGTTCCATAAAATGTATTGACAGCACTTGCTATTTTCCCTGTTCATTCAATTTACTTTGACAAAATATTCTTAACAAATGTTCTGTGTTCAGATGTGTGCAGCATCAGCTTTGAAAGGAAAGCGAGGAGCATGGGGCCAGAACAGAAAGTGGGAAGGGAATTACCTGGCTCTTCCACATTACAACCACAACAGTGAAGCGTTTATTGCCAGCATAAACAATCTCTGCAATGCTGACAAGTTCCAAATGGTAATAATTAACAACTGATTATGTTAGAAATAATTTAAATGAAAATGGATGTAACCACTCTTACCATTGTGGGAATAATTGAATAAAGAGATATATGAATACTTATTGATATAGGAGCTAGCACCATGTGGTTCATCTACACAGAGAGCCTTCTTATTGTGAATGTGTCTTGTTGCGTAAACTCATTGTCTGGACAGAATGTGTAGCACTTTATTTTACCATCTGTGTTGTGTCCTTGCTGTGGTACTTGCTTTTATGTCATTTTCCACCGTATATTCTTTGTTCTTTTAATTTATTATTTCAGTTTTTAGACTTGTTGAAAGACAGTCAACAGAAACAAATTTGTAGGATATGACTTGAATTGAATGCCTGGTGTTACAGGTTTTGTTTTCATCATACATCCAGAAAACAAATCGATTTAATAAGTGTGCAGATCGAGCCCTTTTAATCACTGACAGCAATATCTACAAGCTGGAAACAAAGAAATTCAAAGCCATGAGGAAAGGTTCGCCCATTCAAGAGGTATAGTGTATTAACTCTTTGGCTTTTGACTATTTTTACATAATTTGCTCCACTTTAGTCCAGAGTAATGTAGGTCATATCCACCATAGGTCTTAGCTTTTCTGTGAAGTATGTATTTTCTTTTAAAGTTATAAAAGTGTGGTGAGACTGACAGGAACTATTAATTAATAATTATACAGTTTGGTGATATGTTTATTTATATAATTCCATTAGTACAGATTTAGACTAAATTAAATTTGCCAAATCTTTACACTGTTGCCATGTTTGTAATTTTTAACATAAAAAGATGTCATCTGCAATTGTAGTTGTATTTATGAACTGTTTCTGTATGGAGTACAGTGATTGATTATTGCCATCAAACAGGAAGCTAAGTACAGATTTTGTGTGACTGTAATTTTTTTCTGTCTACAGAAGTGTGATCTTGAAAAAAAAATTGCATATCTGTTGCCACATAAATTTTCAGGAAACTGCATTAAGTGACACTATTTCACACCTACCTCAGAAGTTTGGTGTCATATTGACAGTAGAAAATGTAAGAATACAAAGGTATCCAGTGGCATGATGTTAAGCCAACTTTTGTTAAAAGTCTGTTACTTATTTTAAAGGTTATTTATTAACAGTGGACAGGCACATGGGTTTGACATTGTAAGCATCTTGTCACTTCTTACTGAAGATGTAACCTTCAGCTTGGTGATATTTTTTCTCTCAGCCATTTACTGTATCATATGTATATTTTTATTGCTTACGTGCTTTATCCTGAAATAGGAATTTAATATCTCCAGATGGTAAAAGATAAATTTGCTGCTTATAATGCCATCTACTTTCTCACTTCCCAAGTTTTCTGTACCCTGCAATTCCTGCATGATCTTCAGTTCATTGGAGTATGAATTCAGATGCGTTCTGATAATTTTAAATATGTTCTGCGACTGTAACTTTGATTGTTATAGGTAACAGGACTGAGTTTGAGCCCAGGAAGAGATCAGCTCTTGGTGATTCACTCAAACAAGGGTAATGATCTAGTAGTGGCCCTGAACACTGAACCATCGCATGAGGACCGAGTCGGAGAATTGGTTGGAATTTTGTGCAATCGTTACCAACAGTAAGTTCATAGTACTGTAAGAAGAGTGATACCCAAGTTATTCTGTGTTCTACAGTACCTATGGCAAGCAGAAGGGATTTGAAATATTCTGTAATTACCTTGTTTTATTAGGCTGACATTGTCATTTTATAATTATCATAAGATTGCTTTTAAATGTGTAGTTGATTAAGTGGGATAATTCCAGAGTTACTGCCAGAGGATATATGGGACACCACAATAATATGAACAGAAACTAATGAAAGGGAAAGAACAAAAGGGACTGAAGTTGTTTCACCTTTGTCAGCAGTGTGGTTGTGAGGAGAGCAGAGATCTCTGCACAATGGATGTCTGACAGACTATTACTCTTAGACACTGTTATACTTATTGCATGATGAAACACTGAAAATATTAAAAGAATCTGTCAGATGTATGTTATACTTATTTAAAGAATAATTATGGCAGTGTATGTTGATGCTAAGTGCTGATCGATGCGAGTAGATGGAAATAGGTTGAGGAATGTGAACTGGCTTAGGATGGGCTTTTGTGGTGATGAACCTTATGATTCCATTACAACTTAGTAGTTATATATGTCCCATATTGTTATGTGCCAGAAGTTTGTTTGTTGGTTGCCACACTTTATTTTATTCTATGTAAGTTCATTTAGTGATCATGAAAGACTGCTGCACTAAAAATCAATGCAAAATAAATGCATGTGGACTGAAGTGTAATTAGTTTTAAAAAAGTAAATGCCATTGAAATGTTATTGTTTTGTGTATATACCATTTTGTTTGAGAATGTCACTTCACAATTGTAGGTTGCGTAACATGGAGCTGAAAGTGACAGTTGGCAGTCAGTTTCAGTGCATGCTAGGTAACAAGAGCAGACCACTCCATGTGGAGGTATCACCGGCAGCACAGGTGGCAAACTTCCGACCTGGAAATGGGACAACCATTGTGTATGCTGTTCCAACAAGCTATGCTTTAGGTGGCACTGGTGACCAGAATGGTCAACAGTACAACCACAAAATTGGATGGAAGGCATAAAATGAAGTTTCAGTGTCCAGTGACAGGTAAGGACTTCAGAACAACAATATGTAATGCATTAAAGTTGTGCAACTGTGAAGTACAAGAGTAGAGAAGGAAAGGGATTGTCAGAGTTTGTCAGTCTTCCTCACTAAATGAGGCATTGTTCTTCTTATTATTATTTTTTCTCCACCCTCAGTTTCTTGAACTTTTACATTTTGCTTTAAATATGTAGGCTGAACAGTGTGGTGCATTACTGGAGCAATAATTGCAGTTTGTTTTGTGTTTACTAACTTTAAAAGATATGTCTTTGAATTGCTGCTGCTCAGTTATGCTTGTATATTTGTTGTTCCTGCTAAGCTCAGCTTGTGTTTGCCAGGATTAATATGCGCGTTTAAAACAATTGTTACAATCATTTAGAATTGCTTCCTGAAGATTCAGGTTAACAAAAAAAGTACTTTCCTCATTCTACAGAAAGCAGCTCCTATTTCTTGCCTGTTCGTTGATAAAGAAAGAGTTAATTTCTTTACCTGGACTTTCTTTTTAAGCTTTATAGCATTTATGAAAGTTGTTATGGATTAAGAGAGTATTAGTAAATTACTTTGTCTTGTTAATCTTCATTCATTTACAAAGTACACAAATTTCATAATAATAATAATAATAATTTTATATTGGTTAACATTTCCTTGATATTTGTGTAATTTTGTATTATAAGTATTATATTTTTTTGTAAAAAATATGCAGTTTCATGCCTTTTGAAACATTATTTCACAGCCTATGTTATTCTTAATCAGAACTTTAATGAGTACTTGGCATTTGTTAACATCTGAGTTCTGACACCATGTTGTCTTGTAGGTGGTTACCAGCATTCCTGTGAAACATTGGTAACTGCCTGCATAGTTATTTTGTGTCGCAGTCCAGAAGACACCATTTTACATGTCTACTGCTGTGAGAACCTCAGATCTCATATGATTTGTTGTTTTAAATGTTCATATTGTACATTTAAATTTTGGTTTATATTGTATGGATTTTACAAGCATAAGACTTTCAAAAGATAGTAGTTCAAGTGATGTACTGGCAAGAGAATCATCGGTAAATTAGGAAGATTATATTTCATAATTTACTGTATCTCCAATAATATGTAACTTTTTATTAAATATAATATTCTAAAAATGTGTTAATAATTCACAGTGGATCTTAAGTTCAAGAAATATATATTTAAAGCATTTAATCATTTAAATATATATAATCTTACTGCAGTTTATTTTTATACATTTTATGTTGTTTTGGCAGTTATTTTAGCACTTCTATTGATGTTAAATTATGAATTTTGTCTGCCTGAAACAGATACATCTGATCCACTGATGGGCATTAGTGAGTACAAATTGGCCATCATTATTCTAGATGATTTTGGCTGCTTCAAAACAATTTTAATTTGGGGAGTACTGTTCTCCTAGGTTTTGTATAATAAATGGTATGATATTTGAAGTGAAATGGAAATCATGTTTAGGTACTAGGTGTAATCTGAATGGTAACTGGCACTTTCTGGTCAGTCTACTGAAGAAAATGAAACTTAAATTGTTCACTGTAATGAATGCATTTTAAAGATTGATGTCATAGCTAAGTTGTCCATAGATATGCAACACTCTCAAACCTTGTTTATCTGAAGCTCTCCAGAGACTTGTAGAATGGTGACTAAAGGATGGATTTGATGAGAAACATTGTTTATTGACAAAATTGTAAGGACTGAACTGAATGTTATGTTTAGTATAATAATATTTTGTTGTAAATGAAAATAAATGCAAGTGTTGTTTCTATCTTGTATCATTCGAGACGTCATGATCAACAAGAATTATGGCACTCCATGCAGACACATTGTTTAGATCATATGGTGAAAGCATATTATTAAAAGTTAATAGCATTTATGTTTTTTAGTCATTGAACAGAAGTGATGGAAATATTTAAATTTTTTCAAAGGTCATCTTCATCAGAATCTGTTTGTCATCATCAGAAGCAGCATCATAATCATTATTATTACTATTATATGTCTTTTGGTGAACCTACACTTTTATTGATATTTTGTTGATGCTGTATATTTAGAATTGTAATTATCCACAGAGAAAGCCTTTATCTATTGATACAGAGTGTTGAAAAAGAATAGTTTATTTACTGGTGTTTTACCACTTGAAGTTACAAGAAAAAGGAAAGTATCCAGAGTTAAAGTTTCTGTGGGCAAAGAGCAAGTAACATGAAACACTTAACTGAGTATAATATTTCTAAAGCTCAATCTGCATTCAGCATTTCCAAAAACAAAAAAAAACTCGGGGATTGCGAGAATAAGTTGTCAGATGATTTGATGCTATTTTAAGTGTTGGTGTAATGTTGAAATGAAATAGTGTAAGAATGCACCGTTATTGTTTTATCATGTATTTTAAGATGTCTGCCTTGTAAGAGAAGTCTGTGATTAAGAATCAAGGAGAAAATAGTTAAGTGTGTGCACTGAATGTGCTGTGTCTACAGAACTGCTTTTTTGGTGACTGTATATAGCCACTAGATAAGTTTATAATATAATTTAAACTATCGTCCATAAAATTATGAATTTCAGGTATACAAGTGCTTGCGCATTTTTAGAAGGAAGGGTATACAATTTTGACAAACTTAGTATTGGGCAATTATGCCTTGACCCTTGACCATTGACCCTTTAGAGCCGAATGGTAACTATATGTACCACCTACCTTAATAATCTGCAAATATATTTCCTACAGTGTATTTATAGCTTTTTTATGATTCTTAAGAGTAAACAGTAATTGTTAACTAAAACAGCATTAGCCGATTGATCTTTGTAATGGAGATGTTACATTTTATTTGAGGTACGAACTGAATTTTTAAACATTATTTTGATGAGCTTTGGCTTAATAGGGTTAAGTGTCGCCAGTACATAATAAATAAATATTCTTTATTTCTAGTTTCAAGCGTGTATTAGAATTTAAGTTTTTTTATAGTTCTGAATTTTTTTGTGCTAAAGAAACTTCATTAATTAATGAAAATAAGACAAGTGGAAATACTGTACTGTTCCATATAAGAAAACATTTGGAATTGAATAGGGATTTCTGCTTTAGTGTGTGTGTGTATATATGTTTGACTCAGTTCTGTGACAGCCATACCATTGTTTGCAGTGTTGATGTAAAGTCTCACTGAAAGAAAAGTTATGTTTAAATCCAACACAAAATAAAATTGCTTAAAATCATCTTACTCCAGTATTAGCCATAAAGAAATTATTTGGAAATCTACAGTTGTTTGCCAATTCACTGACTACATTCATTGCCAATTATGAACTCTGTTCCATTTTGTCTTCTCCTCTGCACCCCCAGTTTACAGTTTGTCTTTCTTTCATTGGATTTATTTTGGCAGTCTTTCACCATAGACCGCTGTATTGCTAGCATATTCTTGCAAACTAACTCTTTAACACAGATAGGTTATTGCTTTTGTGTCACAGAACAAATCATTGAATGAGATATTCTCAAACTTCAGTTTTAACATTCAGGTTTGTTAACAACATGGCGTGAATGAATTAATCAGAACAGAAGGAAATTTGTGCTTAAATTATATTAACTCTCATTGCAGTCATATTTATTCTGAAACAGTTTATAAATCCATTCCAGAATTTTGCAGCTTATTGTGTTCACTTTACATTCCTTTGTATCTTGCAATGGTGTACAGGTTACTGTAAGAATATTTGTTGAAATTAATGTTTCCTGTATAATGTAGAAAATGATTTAGTGACACATCACTGTTTTCAGGAGAAATTGGCACTGTCTGTGACAAAGAATTTAAATTATTGTTTTAGAAAATAAAGGTATCTGTAATCATGTGTGCAATATGTGTCATATGAAAGGGAAAAGATACTTTTCTTTTAATCAGCAGTCAGTTGTGCCATAATGTGATCCATACCCCTGGAACTGTAAGTAATTTGAGGTGCTCCAATATTGTATTTTATAAAATCAGTTTACAGAACATGAAATTTTTATCCAAATCTGAACTTAAATCTTATATTTTTGTAGTTATATGTATAAATATTATAGTGAGTGAAGTTATGGAACTTTGTTACATTTAGTCACTAATTTTAATGCACTCTTTTAGTAAGATTTCCAGTACTTATAACACTTGAATGTAAACAGGAGATTGTTGTATGATTAAATGTATGTGTATATAATTGTTACTTTAATTATGTGTGCCATTTTAACACAGTTTGCACTATATTTTATTTTGTGTGCATGTGAAGGTTTGTGTAATGTCCACTTTGTAACCTAAAGCTTCTTGAAAAACACTGAATTTTCACTCATTAACTGTTACCGCATTTGACATGGACACATTTCTTTGGACAGTAAACGTTAACCCTTGTGGCATATCTGGTCCCACTATCAGACTTACGTTGCCTGTCCTTCTCGGCATTTTAATGGGGGCATGACTTTGATGACATTGATATTGATACATTTTCATTACTGCCTTATCATCTTTTGGAAATGATGATAATCATAGAAGACATGGAATTTCAGTGTAATGTTCTTTCTCAAATTACTATTATTTATGTTCCATTTGTATTGTGTATTTGACCAAGTTATGTTCCCAACATGGTGTTCATATTGATGTGATACCATTTCATTTTGACCATAATAAAAGTTGAGCTGGTGTTATTTTATAAGTCTGAATAAGTATGACAGCAAAGATTTAGTAACTTACAGATATAATAATCAAATACATAACTAATTACAGAATCTGTTGTGCAACAGACACTGTATGAAGATCCTGTTTTATGTATTTATATTTCAGATCACTTAACTAAAAAAGCATTAATGTAGAAATAATATGTGATTTGTCATTCTTATCTTTAGCATTTATCAGCCATCTGTCACACCTTACACATGTTCTAGCAGGTGTGTTGTGCAGTAGCATATCACTAACCCATTTAACCCTGGAGTTAAAGTCTTGCTGGTAGCCCATAGTACGGGGATTTAAATCCCATATTCTTATGTGATAAACATTAAAATTATACCATGTTGTCTTCTGAAGGTGTTAGAAAATAAAGGATGTTTAATAATTCTGTCTGCATTATAGTCATAGGCTAAGACATCAGGGACACTTCATGAGAGTTTTGATTTTTGTTTTTACATTCAGTAAGAACAAATGACAAATTTTTATCATAGAAGTTTAGTAACCACTCCTCTAGTGTGTAAGTAACATTACATCCAAAGAATTTGTTAGTCTTGGTATTTTGGTTTGTAACAATGTGTGAAATTGTATGTAGAGACCATCGGTTCAGAGGAACATGCTGCCTTCATCTCCAAGTGGCATTACAACCCAGAAGACCAGCTTAAACATCTTCACCACCACTAGTACCACAAATCTCAATAATATGATAACTTATTTTAAAGTAAATAAAGTTTGTTATTATATATCACAGTTGTGCATTCAAATAGTTTGACAGTGCTGTTACAAGCAATCATATATTGTAGTGTAAGGGTTACAGCTCCATTGTGTCTGAATTAAATATGTGCAACAATGTATGGTTTAGACTTTCATCTAAATAATCAAGTACTTAATGCGGTTTGTTTAGTATGTGTCAGTATTTGTTGTATACTTCATATGTAAAGTATTTGAGATGGACTGTTATCTTCTTTAATCATGTTTCCATAGACTTCTTTACAAATTTTACTGCACATTAAACATGCAATAGTGTGTAATCATTTTCTAAAGGTGTACAATTTTTTTTTTGGTACTAAATTTGTATAGTCTTAAATTGTATTATTTGCCTCTTTTACATATAGTGCTTAAGAATTTAATATAATGTCAAATATTTTTTCTTTGTTTAGATTTTACACATAACATAAAATGTAAATCACAGTTCAAGTTGAAAATTGGGAATTTATGTTTGTATTTTTGTACACTAAATTATACAAACAGAACCTATAAATACTAGTTAAGTATTATGTATACACTGTCCATACATTCACCTGTTCTTGGCAGAATTCATAACATTTTATTTTATGATATCAGTGGCTATAATGCTGCCAAATTATATAATGATAAAAATAGTGCTCACAATTGATGTTTGCATTATGAAAAATAGATTTGATCTGTTTTGTAGGAAGTTGTACTGATATATGTTAGTTGCTCAGTATTTTCAGCTATATAAATAACCATTTATTTAAAGTCCATACTTGCAGTGAATTTAATCAAATATAATTGTTTTTTATTAGACTTGGTACATCATGTCTGTCATAGCTCTATATTTCACTTATTTTAATAGATGTTTCAGTGATTTATGTACTTACATTTCCATGAGTATGTAACTTAGAACAAATAATTACTTACAGCAGAAAAATGTATGATAATAGTTTGTAGTATATTCAGTAAGGACTTCTCTATGAATAACTGTGATAAAATAGGAAATAGAGAAATTGTGCCTTAACAAATATATGCTTTGAAGTAGAGTGATGGATTTGAATACTGTTTGTGTAAAGTGTGATATAGTTAGTTATTTAAAAAAATTATTTGTGCCGAGAATTAAAAGTAAAACCTCTTTGTCATTTTGTGTATGCACTTAAAATGTTATTTCCACATGAAAATACAGGAACTTGAAATTAGCCTTTGAGTGCTTGAGTCATTAAGGTCAGCGTTGCTGTTTTCCCTTATCCCATTTTTTATTGCATGGCTAAAGTATCAATGGCATAACCAAATGTGACAGCCAAATGTTTAGCATTCCTGATTCAGGCTCCTTATGGTTTTCCTTTATCCCTTCAGCCATATGCCAGGATAGCACTTTAAAGGAGTTCACAACCACTTCCATCTGCATAATTTCCAGTTCTGTATTGAGTAATTATCCTATAATTCAGTGCTGTATAGACTCTAGTTGCCCATGTAATTTCATTTAGATGTGTTATTGTGTGATATCTACATTTGGTTTTTTGTTATTCTGCCCGGATTTCAGTTATGCAGGCTTATGTATAATAGAGCTTGTGTTTATTTCCACATTTTCCTTGGAGGATTATTGAGACGATGATTACGAATAATGAAACATGAAGGATAAGGATTACATAGCATATTTTTGGGTGTAGGCCTACTCCCTCGGCTTTCAGCCGAAGAAATTGAATATGAAGAATTTTAACACGTTAAAGGGGACATACAGATAGAGATTGCAGATAAAGAAAAGCTTTAGTATCTGCGGAAACAAGGTTCAGAAATTTCCGAAGTGTGTATTTACTTATACAACAGTTGGCGTGATGGCCATGCATGTGCGTGTTTGGTATTCATTGCAGGCAACCAGCGATCGTTATTATACTTTAAATATATAGTTATAGCTTTCAGAACATGCACTTAGTGGATTTGCAGACAGACGGTAGCCACTACATTGAAAGCTCGTAGGTCGTTATATAGGCCAGTTTATTTACTTGTGTATGAAATTTGAATAATGAGGATATTGGTTGTGAATCTTGATTCAAACAGTTTCTTCTCGAATAATTCCAAATGAAGTTGGTTAATATATCTATAATACTAAAGATGACCACGGGTTTGACACCAATTCCTTCCGAGGACAGGTGTATTTTGGATTCGTCATACTTTTCAGCATTTTGTTTCCTAGTATTTCAGATAGTTTTCCCCAGTATTTAACATGTAGAATAGATTTCTTAATTTTAAAATTGTGAGTGTACGAACATGAAATTAGATTTTTAAACATGTATGGAAATACAAGCTTTGTACGTTCCAAAAATAATGGATTTACAACAGAAAGACCAACATGGACATCTTCACCGCTGTGTGAACCTCGTATAGGCCATTCATAAATTCATGTCAAGTTTAAACATGTTGTAAACTGTACCATAAACATGGAAAGTGCCGAAATTTGACAAGAGGCTGCGGCAAACGCATTTTTAAAAATTATGTTATGAAGGGGCTTTCATTCCACATTAAACAAAATCAGAGGTTATGTTCAAGAACTTGATATGATAGCAGCATTTCTAGTAACTCTACAATAACTTCCGAAATTCCTCATATTTTACTCGTGTTCGCCTTCCATAATACCTACGCCTCAGTGAAAATGGAATAACATTGTGTTTCCTGCATTTATTTTTGAATTGATAATGCCTTTGCATAGCCTGCATACTGCAAGTGGTTACCAACATTTCAGAGGAAGCTGCTATCCCAGTCTTAAGGATAATGCATCAAGTTAAATCTTAAGTGAATATTATATACAACTTAATATTTGTAATGTCAGACAGGATCTGGTATCTGCCTGCAATGGGTACCAGGGGTCCTTTAAAGTGCAGCCAAGGTGTGATGCTGATCACTTATCCCCATATAGTGCCAAGGTCAAAAATGAGTGAGATATATACCCTCACCCTGCATCTCCATGGTTTATAGTGAGACAGCTTTGCTTGTTACTTTTATCGTTTGTTACTTATTCGAACCTTTTCCCATGCATTTTAAGTTAAATTCTTAGAACATATTTGCCTATTACTACGCACAATTAATATGGTGAAATTTCATTGTCCCCTTTTTGTGTTGCCCGTTAAAATATTATGATATGTGAATGTGCACACACTCACTGACCGCTTCCAGGTGCCTCTTTGGTCATTTAAATTTGATTGCTTGGCCAGGAATTGTGCCTTTTAAAATAAGAATAAAAGCAAACCACATCAATTTCAAGTTTTACATGCTAATGATATTACTGTATATCAGTGTGTATATCATCATTAGAATTAAGAATATGGAGTGACTCAGTGAGATTTCAGGTTCTTACAGTGATGATCATTACCCTGATAATAGAGGCAGCACCTCTGAAACATTGGTCAGTTTCTGTGAGACTGCGTGGCACAATATCATACAAGTCTGATCTTCATGAGGCTACTCAAAATTTTTACTATAACTAAAGAACAAGTATTCTGTCCAAAAGTCTTCTTTGAAAATTTGCTTAATTTTGATGTATGAAGGTATTTTTTGGATTGGGGTTCGTTTTGTATCTGTTTATCACATTTTTTCTACCTCTATTTCAATATTTCTTTTGATACGTATATTTCTGTCATAGAAGTGCGCTTACCTTAAGATGTCTATATACATACTGAAGGATTTCTGCAACAATTCTTCAATTCATGGTCTGAAATTCATAACTAAACCAAGAAGACATTGGATTGAAAGGTAAGTTAAGGAAATAAATTTTAACCCAAGATGCTCTTTAACACAAACACATACTACCTTACCTTATTTGAAGGTATATAATGTTATGTGCAAACGTGTACACACACAGCAGATATGTTTCTGTTCACTGTTTTATAGGGTGTTCTGGGTTGTATGCTGTGCATTGTCTTGGTGTGGATCATTTCTACTTATCTTGTCTGCCTGGGAAAATAATCAGAACAATGCAGTCAGTTTTGTGGCTGACACTACATATCTTGACTGGAACACTCCATTTATCTCAATTGCTGTATTTCAACATGGGTTGAACAGTGAAGTGGCGAATTCATACATCAGGAATAAATTCAAGAAGTAAGTCAAAAATTGGTTAATTAACTTGATTGTCTCTTCCATTTATTGTTCCATTCTCACCCAACCATATGCCATAAACGTTTGGTCAAGACTTGTCCTGCATCAAGAATTATTCAATGTGCATTTATATTTTCATATTTTATTATGCTTTTCAGGCATGAAGATGGGTTTGTAGAAGAAATGAGACGGTTATTCGATGAAATTGCATTTCAAGAACATCTTACACTCATACATAAATGTCTTGATAATACATCAAAATTAAACTTCATCGAGAAGAGTGACTGCCCAAGAACTAATCTGTTTGATGTTGTGCAGTCGGTATGAAGCAAACTGTAATTAAATGCTTTTACTTTTTTAATTCTGATTAAATAATTTTATTATTTTTTGAATATAGATATGTTGCATGCATATCTGTTGTTGCCAGTGGCAGAGTATGACTTTCAAAAGCCTAATCCTGAGGTGGGGGGGGGGGGGGGGGAAAAATGTTGTAAGTTCTGTACAACAAACACAAGCAACTGAAGTGTAATTTTAACGTACAATGGGTGGTACTTGGAATACCATATGCTCGCTCCTCCCCTGAAGTCTATACTGTATCATGTCTCTTCTAATTGCACCTGTGCGTAAAAATGGACAGTGTAAGCCTGAACAAATTGGCTAACATTACCTGTGATAGGCTGCATGGACCTGGCTTATGGTGCAATATCTGATCAGTTCTGCTGCATTACAGTGTATGGAGTTACCGAAGTAAGACTTTTAGTTTACATTTTTCAATGTGTTAGCCAGTTAACATGAATGCTCTGCTCCTAGTTGTTACTGCACCAAAATATACATTTTTTTATTTTAAATTTGCTGTGCTGTAAATAAATTATTTATTTCAGTACAACTGTAAGTGTATAAACATAATTTCTTAAATATAATCTGATGCAATAAATAATGTGTGTACAAGGATGTGGTCATTGACAGGATGAGAGGGACAAAATCACAATTATATCAATATTATCTAACAGCAATAATACTTTCAACAAAAGAATTGTGTAGTTATGAAATACAGCTTTGTGGTAGCCATACTGAAATTGCAAGGTAGTCCATTGTTCAGTGACGTCTTCTTGGTTTGCTGTAGATTAACAGTCCAAAGAAACACTCTTCATGAGCCAGGATAGCTCAGTCAGAATAGTGACTAGCTACGGGCTGGACGACCGGGGTTCGATCCCCGACGGGGGCAGAGGATTTTTCCTCTAGCCTCTGCGTCCAGATCGGCTGCAATGGGTACTGGGGTCCTTTCCCGGGGGTAAAGCCGGCCGGGGAGTGATGCTGACCACTCACCCCCATCTAGTGCCGAGGTCAAGAAAGAGAGGAGCTATGCCTCCACTCACCCCAAGCGCCTGTATGGCATATAGCAGGACAAACTTTAACTAAGAAACACTCTTCTAGACATTAACATTAAAATGAATTTTCCTGTCACAGATCTTCTGTAAATTAATGTAATCGGTGTATTATTTTATTCTTGAGTTGAAATTTACTGAATACTTTAATTTTTCTATATGTATCAATTGCATTATAGAATATGACTGTCTTTTTGGATGTTGCACCATGTAGTCTGGTAGAAGTTTACTGATATTTCAAAGATGCTTATGCTTCCATCGTCACTTCCTTGATGATGAAGGTGGTAAGCACGTCTAAAATGTTGGTAAATTTCTACTAGACTACACAGCATAACATCCCAGAACACTTATCTTCAAACTTATCACCATGAGAACCTAAAATGTTGCCAGTATTATAGAAATTAGAAACTTAATATCATACTTACAAATAAGTAGTTTACTGACCAGTATTTTTGTTTGTTGAAATTATATTCCAGAGGCATGATGCATTAACTGTTACTCTACCATATATCACTACTGTTTAAGTTACACATTGTAATGTAATTTATTTTTGCTCCTATGCTAGGTGCGAAGTCCATGCAAAGACATATTTCGTAACTGCCAATGGAATGGTAATGAATTTGACTGCTGCAAATACTTCTTACCATTACAAACTGAAATGGGTCCCTGTTATGCCCTTAACAACATTCACACCCAGTAAGTTATGTTCAACAGATTTATCAGAGTATCTTCCTTATTTTGTATGTGTTGAAAACCAGTCAGTGATAACAACATCCCTTTGTATTAGAAAAGTTATCTCACAACAGACGTAACATTGATATAGTGCTTAGATTTAGTGAAAACTTTACATTTTTGCATGATACAATATTTCTTTGAACTTCAGTAATTCTTATTACTTCCCATCAAAGTCACTGGATCACATATATATATGCTTTGTCACTTGCAATTGACTTATTCATGCAGTACCTTCATTTTCATTCCAGAAATAGTTCAAAATCAGAGGTTTTATTAGATATGATGTCAAACCGCACCACAGGACCTGGAAAACTACTTCTGGAATTGGCTCTTAACACAAAGGTGAATGAAACATCATGGCCACTTCCTTCCCAGCTGTTTCCACTTCACCATCCTCTTTTTGTTTCATTCTAAATTCCCTCTGCAGTTCATATATCAGCATTATTTATTGTCCATGTAACATAACTAATGCATGAACCAGCTGGCTGTGTATCACACTAGCTTACAGCTAAACTGAATTTATAAATACAGTGAATGGGATAAAGTACAATTGTAATATCTATAAAGAGAAGTTACAGAAACTCACAATGACAGCCAACTTGATACTTGGTTCCCCAAACATGAAACAGACAGAGCCATAAAGCTCAGTACCTTGTTAAAACGATATTTGTCTTTCCTATATACTCTTTTACATTTATTCACAGCAAACTGTTTGTTTATTTTCTTTAATAGGTGTACTACTTGTCAAAAGATGAAGTTCCAACTTTTAACACTCTAAGTGAAAATGTTATTACTGCAACAAGAAAAATATTTTACAAGACACTACTTCAAGTAACAGAAGTGATAAGTGTTCCTGATGCTAGATCAATTAACATTGATAAAAGACAGTGTAAATTCCCGGAAGAAAACACGGGGTTCTATCTTTACAATTGGTATTCCTACTCAGCATGTTTAGTAGAATGCCGCAGAAGAGAAGTCATGCGTCTTTGTAACTGCACTAACCCTCTGATGCCTGCAGCAAGTAAGTTATGATCAAATACCATAACTGAAATGATGAGAGGGAAAAATGCATGGGACAGAGTATCTGAAGCTTAAAAAAATCAGTGAACTGGGTGGTAGTGGAAATATGCATCTCTTAACCCATTAATGCATCATGGCATATACTGGTGTTCTCCCCTAGAATAACATTTCTTTTATTTAAGGTTATTCAGTCTCAGAAGTTTGTTTTCCTTTTATAATTCTATTTGTCTCATGAATATTATTGTATATGCACTTTTAAAAATTGCTGGTGTGCCTTTATCTTTTGGAAAGTGAATTGTTTCTCTCAATATACTTGTGATTTTGAATGTTAGCTTATATTTTATGTGAAGGTGCATTTCATCATGCTGTTTCTCAAACATCCTTAATCTATATTGTTCCCTAGTGTGAGAGACCAAGTTTGACACCCATACAAAAGCATGTAAAAATTATAGTTTTACATATTTTTATCTTTATACATTCAGTTAACAGACAAGAAGACTAAATATTCTGAACTGAGTAATAATAAGCATTACCTGAATTTATCTGCTCTTACTTCTTTCTTTCTTTATTTATCCTTTTTTTGTAAAACTACTGACATACAACAGGTAGTGTCAGCCAAGACAAATTCTGCAGGTATGAAAGAAATGGATAGTTTTGTGCCCAGTAGAAGACTAAAATGTCTAGACTTTATTAAAAAGTCCATTGAAAAGTAAACTTCTTTCAGGAACTGAAAAGAATTGTGATCTGGATGGAATGGTATGCCTTGAAAAAAATAAAGACTACATTAATACCTTAATAAACCCTTGGGACAAACGTGAAGGTGCCGGTATATCATGCACGTGCATGCAAGGTTGTGAAGAACTTGGTTTCAGAATGGTGTCTAAGGAAGAGGAAAGAGAGTAAGACTGCTTTTAGTTTCTTGAATTGCAGATTTATAATGATAGTTATACCAACCCTTTAAGAAAAGTACACTTTGCTTAGGTTGCACATAAACATCTTTTATATCGGTATGTACTATTTGCTGTTAACACCTCTGCTTTTTAGAATTTGTATTTCAGACATTTCCAGATATTACTACTCTCTATTCCACGATAACACAAGAGTGTAAATGTGTACTCTAGTTTCCTAAATGAATGTTTTTGGATTCTGCATACATCATTGGCTATGATGTTAATTCATAGTAACTCCAGATTTACTGTTGCAAAGCTTGTCACACTACATACTTACTTTTCTTGCATAAATATTAATCATATCAAAAACATTTTCATATCCTAATGAGATCTTAAATGCTCCTAAAAATGATAAATAGTTCAGTTTGATCTTAATGAATGAGTAAAATTAATGCAGACCCCCACAAATTACCATTTTCATAAGAGGTTATATACAATTCTTGATACAGACCCAGAAACTACACAACTATAGAAGTACAAATGGTCCAGTTACCCACTGTACGCTTCAAGCGTAACATTGTGAGAAACAAAGTAGATATGGTTGGTGAGTACATAATTTATTCTTCCACTTCTCACACTTAACATCTGAACCAAGTAGTGCTGTTAAGGGGAAATACCCTGTTTTGTGTCATTTTCTAGTATAATTCCTGAGTTTGAAATTAAACTAGTTGAAAAATTGAGTCATCCCAGTGAAAATTGTTTAAGATTGATGCTATTTCAAGACCATAATTGATTTTGTTGTTAGCACTTAATTTTTTTAAAAAATGTCCTTTATTGTTCACAGTTTGTTCCAAATATGAAGTTTTCTTCTGACCACAATATTGCTTGAATGAATATAAAAAATCTAAATTTATTCACGTTGAGTCATTCAAAGCAGAATAACGTAGGATTGTTACTAATTTTCTTGCAGTGAATATGGGTGGAACAGCTGGATTACTTGTTGGTGGAAGTATTCTCAGTGTAGTGGAGATATTATACTACTTCCTGGTGCGTCCAGTCTGGGAAGCAGTACACTCCCACACATCTGTTTCTCATACACCTTGAGAGCATCATCTGGGATCACCTAATGAGAGAAGTCTCCCAAATGATCAACAACTTTCCAGAGTGAACAGAACTTAAGCACAATATATGCATTGTAAGGTAACAATAATCAAAAAATAATTCACTACTAGAGTTAAAAGTTCTTTTCTGAAGTAGTTTGCCCTTGCATTACATAGTTAAAAATTTGTTTTATGTACTTGTAATTCTAACATCTACATTTTATTGTTCATCTCTGAAGAAAGAACAACCATCACTTGTGCAACAGTACACTTGTTCATAGAAAATGAACACAGAAAACAGGAATCTTCTTGAAATGATTTCCTTTCTTAGCCAATGAAAGGTTCACTGTCAGGTCCTTGCATCTTACATAATCATTTGAAAGTATGAAGAATGAAATTGAGAGGTACTTTAAATATTTGATTGAGTATAAATCAGGTTTCATTCATACTTTTCTGGGATCCACAATTCCTTGCAGATGTTTGTTGTCACCCAATTTCTTTAATCACTAGTATTATTACTTCCAGTCATTTGGTAGGTTTTGCTTCATGTGTGTTGTAAATCCACTTAATGTTTTCATGCTCTTTATTTCAGCAGTTCTCCAGTTATTGGTAGTTGAGACAGACTAGTCTGGTAGCCACAGTATATCTGCTAGAGATTGCCTGATTGCATAATAGAACACCATCTCTCTGGTTTTGATATATGGGTTTGCTCTCCATATGTAACAGTTTCACATTGACCAACAGCACTACATTTTGAACCTAAGATAAAAAGGCAATTTAACCATATCTTCAGACAATGGCATATGGTAATCTTAGCTGTAACCGTGAATCTATTTGTACCTGAAACAGAATGTGTAAGTTGCAGCAGACAAGATTCAAATAAATTTCCAAAATTTAGGTCTGCTGTTTACAGTTTTGTTCAGGGAACATTTCATTTTTAAACTAAACTTCACTCTATTAAGAAATGGCAGGACAGCTTCACAAAGGGAAGTAACAATAATGTTAGAGAAAAATGACATTTTAATTACAATCTTCCACTCAGTTGTATTAAATTATACATTTTTGAAACACACAAATTGTCAGATGTGTTATTCACTCCCTTCTCCTTCAGAACAGTTGTTTCTACTGCTTACTCACTGCTCATCAGATTGGATAATGGGATGGTGTAACACCAGCATAGCCTATCACCTGAAAGTAAATAATTTATTTTCATTCACTCAGGTTTCAACAAAATATTTTATAAGTAGCCCTTTACAGCCCAAATGTATCTATACATCCCACTTGCTTCAACAATCAATAACTTAATTTTTTATTTATTGGTTTTATGTGATTCTCACAATAAACAGTGATTATTTCCCTAAACAGCATTAACAAATTGATATTTATAATGGTGAACAGTTGTGTTTAAAGTGTTAATAAGTATACTTACATGTGAACTGTGTCACAAACTTAAACATGGTTATAGTCTGCTCATGATTTCTGCCAGAACTTGCTACTGCCACGTAGACCTTTGGCTTTGATTGACTTTTTTCCTTTTTCTGCACCTTGTGCAACAGCTTCTCGGGAATCAGTTGCCATTGCTTCATCTGGATCCTGTGACTGAGTCTTCAGTGTCTTCTTAATGTTGCTAACCTAGTGTAAATAGTAATTCAACATCACTCAATCAAAGTAAAGTAAAGTTTGTCCCACTATATGCCATGTAGGCATTTGGGGTGAGTGGAGGTATAGCTCCTCTCTTCCTTGACCTCGACACTAGATGGGGGTGAGTGGTCAGCATCACGCCCCGGCCGGCTTTACCCCCGGGCAAGGACCCCGGTACCCATTGTAGAGGAGGCTGGGTGGGCCCCAGAGCCGGTCTGGACGCAGAGGCTAGAGGAAAAATCCTCTGCCCCCGTCGGGGATCGAAACCCGGCTGTCCAGCCCGTAGCTAGTCACTATACTGACTGAGCTATCACTCAATCAAAAAAGGAAACTTAAATAATGGTTAACTAATTTAAACTGCAAGGAATAGTACTATTTTACTGAATACAGGCATTCAGAAACTACAAAACCTTTGACAGAGATCTCTAAATTTTATAATAATATTCCTCCACAGGCTCAACACTTCTTTTAGGCCCTTTATAAATTAGCAAATTCCCTACTTTACATGTAAAACTATACATCTGTCAGATAGCTGAATTCAGTGAACAGAGGGATTTAAAATTTATGTAGGATAGATCCCTAATGGTAATTTCATCTATACAGATTTCACAACACTCCCAGCTATTCACTCAAATATTCTTAGGCACAGAAGTATATTTTACATGGTCCCCCTTAAGTGTCTAGCAGCAAAAGCCAGAAACTAACCAGCCAGCAACTTTATTATAAATTTATTTGTAGACAGTAGTATAATTAAATCAGTGAACCTACATACTCACATTGGAGACACTGAGATGTCAATGAAGGCAATCTTTACAAGATTAAACTTCTTGGTGATGTAGCTAATTTTCTGATTTATTATGACAGTTGCTTATTTAAAAACATCTTTTGCATTTCAAAGTTCTGATCAAGTTCGTGTTACTGAATATAAAGCATCAAAGTATGGCCATGAAACTCTGAACATACCCTACAGAAGCCTATGTTTAATTTTATGTATGAATTCACCTCTTGGTCAATAGCCTCTTTGTGTTTGAGACACCTGTTCTTCTCAGCATTGGCACGATTGATCTGAGTCTCTACACATGACAAGACAGCTTCACATGAATCACACCATTCTTGCAATGTGCTCACTATGGATCCTACATCACCTGGCTGAATGTCACGTCCAATGGCATAGTCAATCTCCAGCTGGCTATTCTTTTGATCAAGCTTTCCGTGGATAATGTCTGCAAGAATTATAATCATAAACTAGTTGTGTGTTTATATAACAAGATAAAATAAATGGAACTCAGCCATTAAAACATGGACTTGCATAATAATCTGAATAAAACAGAAGAAATTTTTTAAACCAATATTAATGTAAGTTAACAACCACAGACAGTTGTAAATATAAAGCAAAATACAAGCAAAAGATGTACATAATAAAATAAATCAGCAACTAAAACAATATGAAAAGTGAGAGGTGTATTCATGTGGCTGCATGTAGCAATTGCATCACTGTGATAACTGATTAAATTTATAGTTGTAGGAATGAAAAACTTTATTACAGTTGTATTTATGTTTGTCACACTGTATTTTGTACATGAAACTGCATTTAAAACTTATGAATAATTTTCACCTGCATAAATAGCTTCAATGATGAGATCTTCTAAATCTCGAACATTTTTAATATCCAGTTCTTGAAGTAATACAGCATATGGAATACACTGAAAAATAAGTCACATCTCCACTGAACATTCCTTATTTATACAAATCTGAAATAATATATTTCTCAATGAAATAAGTTAATGTAAAATCTGTGTGACCCAAAGCAGTAGTCTTGTTTTAAGAATGCATTCTGATGTGAAAAATATATTTCCTTTGAACTTTCTTAACATGTTATTCTGTACTATTCTTTTACTTAAACAATGAATCCTTACATTCATAACACTCCTTTTCTCTGGTATCAAACTTTGGATTACCAGATTTTTCTACATATAATATTGAGAACAGCTTGGAGAAAATACAAATAGTACCAGGAGCTGGGGAAATTGAGTAGGTAATGAAAATATCTATATATACCTGAGTAAAAGTCACCTGTGCTATGACTTTCTCGTCAGAGCTTAAGTTTTTTTAACTGGGTGAATAGGAAATTGCATATTTAAGTAAATTATTAATGCCTATATTAATATATTTGTTTCATCTAACTTATGTAATTATGTATTTTACACCTTGTTTAACTAAGCTAGTAAAAGGTAAAGCTGTCCCACTATATGCCATGTAGGCACTTGGGAGGGTAGAGGTAGTATAGCTCCTACTCATTCTTAACCTCAGCACTAGATAGGGATGAGTGTCATACTCCGGCCACATTTTACCCCCAGGAAAGGTCCCTAGTACCCATTGTACAGGAGGCTGGGATGGCTGCAGAGCCACTCTGGAAACGGGCTAGAGGAAAAATTCTCTGCCCCTGTCAAGGATCGAACCCTGGTCATCCAGTCTGTCACTATATTGACTGAGCTACCTGACTGTTTAACTAAGCACCAGGCCATAAAGAAGAACGGGGAAGTAGAGATATGGCTCCACACATTCTTAACCTCAGCGCTAAGTGGAGGCGAGTGCTTAGCTTCATACCCAAGTCACTTTACCTATCACAAAAGAACCTCTTTCATTACCCACTGGAAAGGAGGCTGGGTAAGCTACAGTGACAGCCTAGATTTTATAGTGAAGAGAAAAATCTTGTCACTTACACAGGGAAAGAATAAGTAAGATATGAAACAGTATACAGAAACTATGTTGTCATACCTTATTCTTTGTAGCCAGTGTAACAACTGTTAGATGCTGCAGCTTCTTCTTCTGAACTGGAGTCAACTCCAGAAGTTTGGCTTTATTTTCCAAATACTGTCGATAGGTTCCATAAGCAAATAAATGCAATGCATGGTAATAGTTGGCATGTGGACCATTTTCAAGCTACAAAAACATAAATAATTGTATTTCATCTGAGATCTGAAATTCCCACAGCCAATACAAATCCAGTCAAACAAAATTAATTGAAAGTGTCAGTTCAGGCACAGATTTCTCTCCACATCACATAATCCCCTTTAACCTACCAACCACATGATGATTATCAGTAATGTGCATCCTCACCAACTTCTTAAACCAAAATGTCATTGTCCTAACTTTAGAATGTTTCCCATTCATTGTGCCAAAATTTAACAATTATAATTTACAATAAACTGCAACGTTTACTCACTTCAATTACATTAGGCATATCCAACAGCTCCCCAAATACATGTACACCTGGTGCTTCAAGAACTTGTTTTACTAACTCTACAGCTGCAGCACCTTTTGCTGATTTTGCCAATAATACAAACTGCTCAAGAGGATTATTGCCCGCAGAAGAGCCTTTTTCTGTTGCCATCGTACCCTTCATTCGTTGACACTGCAAAATGCAATTTTTAGGTTAGGTTACCACAATCTAAATTACAATAATGCTCATGTCTCTACAGTGCATACTTCCTGATACTCGAACTGTTGCTGATTTATAGTACGAACGTGATTATACTCTGATACTTACCTAATTTCGTTACTTTTGTTAGTAGTTTATTATAAACATCACCTAACAGAGTATAGTGCTAGGACAGGAGTAGAAGAAACAAACGAACATTCGACTGTTATGTCAACTAAACCAGCATTAACTAGTCGATAAATGTCTTTCGATTGCATCCCATATTTTCGTCTGTGATTGCAGTGATGCATTAAATCTGGTTGAATTTTAGAATCTTTTTGACAAAAATACTCGCTTCGAATCTAGTTTAGGTTTGAGAGTCGATAAAATCTACAATACAAGCATATGATTATGTGGGATGTGCTTGACAAATTTACCTAGGGTCGCGAAGACTTAGTGGGATTTAACCTCAAACAAATTTAAATAAAAGAAATGGCAGCATCGGATGTAACAGAGACTAGCAGTTATGCAAGCTCAACTGTATGCAAAATGTTAGTACACTTTCTAATGACAGCCCTTACTTGTTGTATATTATGTACTTCGTTTTGTAATACTAATGGTGTTGAGGTTAGGTTGAGCTGTGTAAAATTTGGCAGTGACTAGTAGATTTTCAAGGGACCTGACACATGAATTCCACAAACACATAATAAAGTGATAGACATCTCAACTCACGAGCTAAGCTCTTCACAAAAGCAAATCTAAAGTAAATTAATAATAATCTATCTCACTAGTGACCTAAGATTTATTCCTTCTCATGATCTTTATTCCAGATGTTCGAAGATAAAAGGCATTTATGTATGTCCTCGATGCAACATCTTGTATTGTTCACTGCTGTGTTATCAATCAGAACTTCATCTTAATTGTTCTGAGGCATTTTATAAAGAATGTGTAATGGAAGACATAAAATCTCAAGGGAGAGATCCATTTCCTGAAAAGAAGATGAATGAAATTTTGCAACAGTTGCAAGGAAATGAAAATAATAGCAATATTGGTATATGTATATGCTCGATAATTATTTCAGTTCAGTCACTTAATATGGTGATCTGAGTCTTTTAGCCTTGTTTTCTGTAAGTTTATTATGATATGCATTACTGAATCAACAGATCTTGTCCTTTGCTTACATCTGATCTGTGTAACTTATCACATTAATTCAGTCATGCTTTGCACAGTGGCATTCTGAGTGTCCCTAGCCACTTTAATAACTTGATGAGGACATTAATGTCTTATTCATTCATTCATTTTCTTAAATCTGTTAACTATACATAATTTAAAGACCCTATATTAGGCGGTACTATTGTTGCTTCTATGACATGATCAGAACTATATGTATTCATTTTATGCACATCATGCAAAGTACACATAATAAATATTTTCAGGATGGCAGCTGTGAGAATTTTAAAACATTGTATTAATAAATGCCTATAAATCTGTACGAAGACTTCATTTTTTCACGTTGGTGAATAACAGAATGACGTTTGTGCACATTTTATGAATGGATATGAATATTACCCTTCAAAAACTTATAATGGGTAATCATAGAGTTAAATTACTCCTTTTCTGGGATGCATACTTTAGTAAATTCTGTATAAAATGATTATGCTGTTTATCTTTCTTTCAGTGATAGCCTGTTTTTAATATGTGACCATTTATCTCCAGATTCAGATGATGATAATGATGATAGCGTAGAAGATTTGCATGAACGTTTAAGAAATGTAAATCTAGATGATGCTGATTCAGTCTGGGAGCAACTGACACCAACAGAAAAGCAGGAATTTTATGACATGCTGCAGAGTGGAGATGCGAGTCAGCTTGTGGTTTCATGGGAACCGTGGTGGCTTTTCAGGTTACATTAACATAAATAGATATAAAATTAAGTGTGAAAATTATGGCAGGATTCTTGAACACACATTTCTGAATATTCCTGATATGGTCATCATTGAATTGAAAATGCCTACCTATTAAAAATTAACCTGTTTCCCAATATGTGTACTTTGTAATGACACTATTTTGCTATTTAGTAATGGATGCAGAAAATATCAAGTGAAATTTTTGCAGTAATACAGACACGTAGAAAGAATGGGATAGGGAACATGTATGGCCAGAATAACCAATTGACTGGTTACTAAATTTGTGTTCAAACAGGAGACTGGAAGGAATTTTTAATGTTTCAGGAGGAATTTAAAGGCAGGAGTAATGGAAAAATTTATCTCTTTGTGGTACAAGAATGGGGAATCCATAGAAATAGAAAAACAATGGTTCCAAAGAATCTGATGTAAATACGTCTCTGTAATGTAATGAAACGTAATGTAATGTAATATAATATAATAATTCTTATATAAGATAAGTACTTGTGATATTCTAAAACATTTTTACCAGCACAAAATTATCTAGTCTACGAGGCACTTCTTCTACAAGCGATTCACAGCTCAGCTCAGCTCTTTCCGCAATAACAAAAGCAGATTGTTGACAGCAGTAATGTAACACAACAATGCTGAGTAAATAGATGATGTTTCTTCGTTTCACGTTTTTGCTGAATGACCCTTCCCTATAGACTTATTTACGCCAAAAGATAAATTATTGGCATAGCCATATTTATTTGAAAGTTCCCTTTTCGTAAACTTCAGAATGAAATAACATCTTTCATGCTACGGTTTGAATCCCATAGAATTTTCATCTGCTCACAGATGCTGAAATCAATCAGTTTTAACTCTCTATATAATTGTAAATAAATACAACTTCTAATCTTTGGCTATGTAAATTTTGCATGCAGGCATAACCAGTATGCCAGAATGATAAAATCAGAGCTGATTCTAATATGAATTATGTTGTAGACTATTAATGAATTTAGGACCTTATGCATGTAACTTTAAAAATCCTAATATCTATCCTGTTTCTCAATTTTGTTGCTTGATTTAAGTATGAATGTAACTGCAATCACTACTGTGAACTGTATAATCTCAGACAGCTCTCATTCTTTATTACAACACCACTTCATTGGTGGTGAATAAGGTATATCTGTTCAAATAACAAAAACATCGAATTGGTTCCAAAGCAAGCTAAAACAGAAAATTTACCTTAACACAAAGAGTTGTGCATGCTCCCATCATCTTCTGAAAGATAATGAAACTTGCTATATTCAATTAAGATTAAAAGCATTTCTTGAGACTTTAAACCTATAAATATTTCTTTTTCCAGGAAACAGAAGACTCTGATTCAAGATGTGGAGACTGAGCAAGTCTCACCGCATCCTGTGTATGAAGCAAATTGCCCAACAGTAAAGAATGATGTGCCTCTTCTTTCCCAAATCTCGGTACATGGATTTTAATAAAATGAATTTGATATTTGTTTTTTAAATCTTAATTATATTTGTGAACTCAGAATAGTGTGTAGTCATCTGGTTTGAGGGGCAAGCCATATTGCTAATTGATTTGAATTTGATGTTAATGCTCTTCATGTTGTGGAGGTATAGATTGTGAATTTCCTGCTTGGATTCCTGAGTTCCTCTGGATCTGTCTACACAGTTGTAGACAGTTTACTCTGTTGTTTTGCGTGGCAATACAAATTTCCAATTTGCTTTATCATAATATAAAATTAGTAGCATAATTCATGTAGCACCTTGCACACACTACCATGCTGTATGAATCACCATCAAGATTTTAATATTCACAAGGAAACTATGAATTCATAGACCAACTGAGCACTGAATAACCATGCAGAGAATTATGTACACATAGCAATGTTTTGTTTCCATAACACAAATTTTGGCTCACAATCATGGAATTAATGTGATTAGTGTATTAAAAACATGGCTTTACACTATGAATTCTTTTCACTTCATAAGTCAGAATGTAGCTTTAAATACTGTATACATAGACTTTGTTAGTGTTGTGTACATTTTCTGTTGTAATTTATTAGATATTCGGTTTTTAGTGTTGAATTGTTCAATTTAAACTTTAGATTATATGATGCTTTTTATTTATTTAATAATAAATTATTCTGCATTTTCGTTAAAAATTATACTTCTGCATCATTATATTTATTCATTATTTGGTTGATTAATGATAAATTATTAAATATTTTGATCATCTATCTCTGTAAATAGAAATAAACTATTCAGAGCAACCAAAGCAGCCTTAACTTCAGGTATTCTATAGAAATATGAAGAAAGGGAAAATGTAATAAATTTGTAAAGAAAGTAGATGAATCACAGTACATACTAGAATACTTCTTGATGCAAACATCTCTTTATTTTACATACTTTTAAAAGAAAGATTATTAACATGAATGCTAAACGAAGTATTGATCAAAATATGTTAGTTTTGTTCAGTGTAACTGATATTTAATATGACTTACAGTATGAATGTCAATGTGGAAAGAAAGTGTCCACATTTGCTCTGTAAACTTCAGCTAAAATATCCCTGATACACCAATAAATATTTAATAATAGTGGTATTTGTTACAGAAAACTGTTGCAGCACCTTGTGTGAAGTACAATATTCTCAATGTGTTAGGTGCTTATTGTTACACTACACGATTCATGAATGGTGAGCATCACAGTATGCCTGCAGAAGCTTCCAACATTCTTGTGAACCTCTCTGCAAATCTGAACTTCAACCATACTTATGACTCGGCTGTGTTAGCACTCGAAGCTGTGGCTCATGAGGTGGTTCATGTGAGTATGGTGCATTCCCAGATTATTTGATAATTGCATAATATCTTACAGGTTTTACTGTTGCCACAAATAATCACACCAAACAGTTTTTCCTGAAGTGTTATGTTAATGGTACATTAGGTATTTCCCTCTTTCTTACTCATGGATGGAAACAGGTTCAGTTTTTTAAACGTGTTATGTTGAGAATAATACATGATAGACAAAGTGAATTTATACCTGGAGTGGTTAGAACTATAGTCATATTTCAGAAGCCCATGATTATAATTACTGTAGTTGTAAACACTACTTGAGCTCATACCTCAACAAAAACCAGAAATCACATAATTAAAATGGCATATATTTAGTTAATGGTAAAATCTGAAATTCATCTGACCTACATATTTTTGGGTTACACATTCATAATAAATGTTTTGTTTCTGCTTCAGTATGTGTGGTTGGGTGGGTCACAGGAGAGTGTGATCTGCATGAAGAATGATATTGAGTGTATTCTGACTGGACCAGAGGACAGCAACTGCAGTTTCTACCTTAAGGCTTCTCTTTCTGATATTTATAGATTAATGTCAAAAGCCAAACATTCAAAAAGCATAGGCAAGTAATGATTTAGTGATGGATTGAAGAATAAATTGGACTGTATTATTGTGGTTCTAAAGGATTTGTCCTTGTAGATTTTAATACCACCTGTATTACATGTAGATGTATAGACTTTATATTAGGAAGTGAGTTAGTTCATTTAGTATAATTCTAACTATAGGCTGGACAATTGGGGTTTAATTCCTGGAAGGGCCAGAAATCTCCAATAGCCTTTCCATCCATGCCAGATCTGGGACCCACCCAGCTACCTATCCTGTGGGTGCCCTGAAAGTAAGGGAGCCAGGGCATGAAGCTGACCACTCTCTTCCATATAATACTAAGGTCATGAAAAGGAAGAGCTTTTTCCCTAATACACCATACATATTCATGATGTGGTGCTTAATAAGTACCAGGGATAACTTCACTTTTAACCAAGTGTGTGAGTATTAAAGTTGCCCTTCATCTGCAAGAATAAAATCTCTTTTGATCAATTCACTTCATTATTGTTACTGTTGTTATCATCACAGTTATCACTATCATTGTCATTCTTCTTGTTTTTGTTGCAGATCCTAGTGCTGTAAAGAAGACAGGAGAATTTACCAAGAGATTTAAAGAGCATTCATTGCCTTCATTTGTTCAGAAAGACAAATTACGGCTTGTAATTAAAAAACTGGAATATTACCTGTCATGGTCTCGAGATCACGCTGATGAAATCTGTTGCCTTAGACTTTAAGTATGACAGAATGTCTATGTTTTTTATAACTGTCACAATTATTACATTAATAAAGACAAACAGAAGTGGCACTTATACTTTGAAGACTTGATCATGGAATTCTGAATTTATGGTCCTTCCTAGTTTATCATTCACTGCCATCTGCCAAATGACTGCTATATAAACTACACAGTTTAAATAAAATAAGAACCAAAACAGTTGTCCACTCCAATACAAGGTCATATAAGACACCAAAAATATATTTTAAAACATTGTACTATACAAAATGTAACACAGCTGAAGTTTAAATAAATGTAGAGTGTAAAATAAAATAGTTTTGTAGATTGATATAGTCATCAAGCCCAAATTATTTTTACAATGAATCATGTGATGACAAAATAAACAAATTTTGAGATTTTTCTCACATATGTATATGAGCAGGTAAATATGCACAAGTTAAATTTCCTGCTTACTACTACAAACAGCCTTGTAGCAGAAATATTCAAAGTTGAAAATTGCAAGTGGCAAAGGGTAATATTTTTGTTTAGGTAAGGTGAGTTGACGGGTATCAGTAGTGGAAAGTATGAAGATGATTTTTCTGGGTGTAATGTGGTAGAAATTAGCCCATGTTACAGAAGTACATACTACCTCCATAACCAGGACATCATCTAGAATTCTAGGTTAATTTGTACCAGACTATCCGACTCTTTGTCTTAGGAGGCAGTCATCTTTAGATGATAAAATTAATCAGTACATTGTATTGAATTCTTTTTAAGTGGACGTGCAACTTAGAGGTGGTAGTTACCGATAGAGCAGTAGCAGATTGGTTTGTAATAGTTTCCTTGCCGTTGAAGATAGATGGGAGACTATGTACGAGGGGGACATGTTACGAAGGATAGGGATTAATACGATGCCAATGCTACCAACTATAGCATTCAGTCAGAGAATTTGTATGTATGTTATTGCCAGTTTGAAAAGCGTGTGATATTCTACGAGAAGAGAAAGTTTGCTATTGGTTCTACTATCGTCATATATAAAACGTGAAGATTAAATTGTATAAACATTAAACAAACCTCACAAAATTTCGAATCAGCTTGAAGTATTAACTGGGTTTAGTGTTTGTTATTCCCAGCACCATATTATTAACCAGTGATGATTTGGATGGATAATTTTGGTCATTCGTATGCATAAACAGAAAATCAAATGAGGATGTTTACAGTTTCAATGTGAAGACCGTGATACCACTGAGTATATAATTAATTATCCATAGCCAATTTATTAATAAATATATTTCAACCAACAGATCAAACACATAACAGTATTGTAAAATAATTATGCCAGTAGACAAACACTGATTTCTGAGGATTCCATGGAAAATATTTTGGAAGTAAGGCACTCTTTAAAAATTTTGATGTTATGTGAGTCCTTTTTTATAGACCAGGTTCAGTACGTTGAGAAAAAAATCATAAGCCTATTCTTTTTGATAAACCCATAAATAATGTGACAATAACAAACCTTAATTGGTCTTAATAAAATTAATATATCCTGTGACACTTTATACAGATATATCTTTTCATTAACTTGGTGTACAGTGAACCCCAAATATAGTTACTTTTTTTGAGATAAATATAAAATACTAATTTTCTTGAAGATCTTGATGTTAACTCTGTATTTGTATTTTTGTTAGTTAAAATGCATTACTTCCTATCTCTTTGGCTTAATATGTAGGTCTATGAATATTAATAAGATGTAATGTTGTAGTTGGTCTGTATTAGAGGAATGTACACCCATTCCGTATAACCAAAAATTCTGAGCTATTATAAATACATGTAAACAATAGTAGTTATGCTTTCTTGTGTGATTATTTTTGATATAATAATGTAGCTGACTGTAAACTACTGTCATAACTATGTAATTTATATTTGAAACAAGTATTGTATTTGTGCTGACATGTTCTACGTGTTTGGCTTAGGCTTATGAATATATTCTATTCTATGCTATTCTATTACTTATATCCATGACAGCATTATTTATCCAGTGGGACTGTGATTGGTACCTAATTTTTTAGGGTGCAAGCTCTGACAAGTTATTCTGCCGTATTGTGTCTGAAGCAGTAGCAGGTGTAATTCGTCATAGTATGGAAAACACTGGCAAGTTTCGTCAGCAATGTTATGAATTACTGCAGGTATGACGAACTTCATACATAGGCTTAGCATGGAATGTCCAAATTATGGCTTATAGGAAAATGCAGTATTTTAAAATTTGTAGTTTATTCCAAGTGAAAATGTAATTTTTTTTACACTTTTAAACCATTAATTTACTGAGGCATGAAGTCCATCTAAATAAATTTAAATATCTGCCTCCTATCTCCAAGAAGACACACAATATCTGTCACAAAATGTCACTCTAATCAGTGTTCTCTCCTTAATGTATGAGACCATGTTCCAAACCTATATAAAACAACAGGTGAGACTGCAGATTTGCATTTTTAACATTTTTTTTAAAATAACAGATAAGAATGACAAGATTCAGAATGCCATCTCACATATTTAGTCTACTCTTAATTTTCTAGTGATTGAAATTCTGATATGCTACTGTCATTCCTAAATACTTGAACTTTGCCACATTTTGATTTTGAAAAGATTTATTAGGTACCTTTATATGATGATTTTGTCCTGTAGTCTGGTCACGAAACATGAACATGCACTTAGGTGTCTTTATATTTACATTTAGACCAACTTCCTTTCTACCATCAAATATAACTTCTGTTCTTTTCTTTACAATATTTATGTTTTACCAAATAAAGAAGCATATTCAGCATAGACAAGAAGCTTATGTGTCTGATTCAGTTCCTGTCACTCCCTATTCTCTTGGGCACGTTACAGTTACAAGTAGTTAAAATAATAATACCTGTTCTGTTGTTTAAAATAAGATTATAATATTTATATGCAGGTGACTAGTACAAAGGATGCTGAAACTGAACTCGAAAGGAGGCTGTTGAACATCACACTTGGAGAAATAGGGATCAATAAGGACATTAAGAGGAGTCATGAAACAGATATAGATGAACTGCAGTTGGACAAGACTTCTCTGAATTGGGACACTGTGACAGGAGAACACAGCAGTGCCTCCACGGACAAATGGTTGACCCAAGTAGAAGACTGGCCATGACTGGTATCATAACAGATTATTGTATGTAACACGGTCTGATGAGATTAACCCTCTCATAGTCATGATGGATGTGGTGTGTCTCGTGTTTGTGATAAAACTGGTAAAACTGAGATAATTATATTCTATTTTATGAAGACCCATTTTAATATTATTATTCAGTCCATGCGTGTGTCTTCCAGCTGGTTTCTTCCCTTCAAGTTTTTTGACAGATTAGTCTTCTATTCTATATTCTCTTTACATATGCTACATGCTCCACCGATCTCTTCTTCCTTAATTTGAACATTATAATATTGCTTAGTGAAGTGTAGAAGTTATGAAACTCCCCATCAAGCAATCTTCTCCATCATCCTGTTGCTTCTGCTCTGTAAGGTCAAAATATTGTCCACAGCACTTTTGAAGTAACCCTCGCTTTAAACATATTTCATTTATCTAAGTAGCATGCTACATTCAATGGAAATGTACAATACTTCCCACCATGGTGGACGTTTATAAATAGCTGATGCACTGCCCCATTGTGTTCATATTCTCCAGCATCTGATGATCTGGGATTTTGTGGGCTTCATTCATTTGGCTCAGGATAGAGATTAATTTTAGGCTTTGTAATTATGGTAATGAAAATTTGGTTTTTCCTGAAATATGAGAGGAATTTCCTGCCTAACTGAACAAGCAATACAGCTAATGATTTTTAAGGGCTTTGCTTCATGGGTAATATGGTTATGGCCGAATGATTATCATCTGATTGCAGATATCTCAGGCAGAACTTTGTTAAGTATTGTAATAATAAATAGCAAAAGGAACAATTAGAGTCAAATAGTGCAATTAAAACACAAGTATTTTAGATTCCAGGTTCTCATAGCAACAAATAACAAGATGGCTGTCTTCTAGAAAGTTAGACCATGTAGATATTAACTGGGGTTTCACATCACCCATACACTGTGATGATGGAAGCAGTAAGCTCTTCTGAAATGTCAGTCAATATCTACCAGACTAAACAGTGCAGCATCTCAGAATACAGCCTTCTTCATCTCCTAATGTCTGGTTTGACACAGTTATCTGAATTTAAATGGCAAATTAAAGTGTGCATTACGCGAGCTAATAAGAAAAATAAATCGGGCCTTACACATTGTTAATAATCAATAAACCAATGCAGAACCCCGACTTTACATTTTACATTTCACTGGATTAGGTATGATGTTGCCCCAGCAGAAGGGATTTTCCAATATTTCCTTTTTTAATCTAGTAACGGGAGCTGGTCCAGTTTCCGAAACGTGATTTTATTTTTGTTTAGACAATGAACAGAGTCCAAGAAAACAGTTTTGCCGATTATAAGCATTTTTATTTTATTCTGTATAGTAGCATTTTACCGACTGAACCTTGATATACCAGTACGTCGACATCATTGTGACTTTATGGATATAACGTTAGATGTCACTTAAGTTGAGGGTCTCTTCTTTCCTATACAATTTTAACATCGTCAATCTCGCACAGATTGCGGCTAAGTAGGTGGTCTGTAGTTGATGTTATATAGTAAACAAATGGGCCGCAGTGTGTAGTAAATCTTGAAAATAATAGAAAGTAAAATGTCTGGTGAGGAAGGAGCTGGTGGAAGTAGTGAAAATATGAACAATACCATCAGTCCAAGAATAATGGGTGCCCTTGAATATCCTGCAGCAGAAGACAGAAATGTGACGGTACAGCCGATACAGCCAAGGCAACCACATAATTTGCAGGATTTACTTAGGTTCAGTGTTGAGGCAACCACAACAGGACACAGTATTTCAAACCAAAATGATTCCGGGTTTGTACCTGGACCGATGGATGAGGAGGTAATTGATTTTCATAAGACAGGTAGATCCAGACGTTTGTGTACCATTTTTTAGTGCATGAACTTCAAACCAAATATTTTGTGAAAGTTTGCACTTGACATAGCAGTTTTGTTTCATACTTTAAGTTCTGAGATATTAAATATTAGACAGTCATAATGCAGGGCACTTTAATTGTTGGAAGCAGTGATTTATAATACTTGTTATAATTATCAGTATTGAAAGCTGTTTATAACACTTGTTATATTTTTTACTTTTGCTGTGAGTTCTTCTGGTTATGGAGGCCATAATTTTATTCCACCTGGTACTGTTCTTTGTGATGGAATTTAATCTATAGAAAACTAGGGGATGAATCAAATTAAATGTTGTTGGCTACATGCCAATGATGTTACAATTTGGCATTTCTTTTGTGGAACCTGTGGTTTATTTCTATATAAGCATGTTATATAAAAATGGACATCTGTATCTTATTATGCTATATATATATATATAAGTTTTATTGTAAGCAATAACTGTTATGATGACAGGCTGGTATTGATTTGGTTCTATGTAAGTTGGTTCCATTGATGTCAAACATGTGCAGTAGAATGAACTGTGACTTTGGAGATGGGATGCAGTTACAATTTTTGCTGCATGATATGAGATTCAAATGTTTCTTCACATATTTTCAGAGGAAGACGTTTTTGGAAGAGACTCTAAAGTCAATGACTGTTGATGTAATTAAGATGTTGTTGGAGGCCATTGATGTCTTGAAGACTGCTGGAAACCTTGAGTTGGAAGATGATCCCACAGAAAGTGAAGAAGCACTAGAAAAGATTGCTGCTTATGTGGACAATATGGATATTGCTAATGGTTTGTGTTACTATATTTAATGGTTTATGATAATTTGAATGCACTGAATTTATGCTGTTATTTTAACCCTAGAATGTTACCATTTATTGGGAGGGGCATTTTTGCTTACTAGGGGATGACAAGGGTGGAAGAGGTGACATGAACCTCGAGCTTACCATTGACTTCCATCTAGTTCCAAGGTTAAGAATGTGTGGAGCTTCACCTCCACAACATTCCCTACTACTGTATGCCTACAGGTTATGGTACAAGAGGGCAAGTTTACCGTTTCATCTATTGAAATTATTTAATTAAGTTAGTATAATATTAAGTTTTTTGTTTAGATTTCCACAAGATTGGAGGTTTCTGCATATTTCGTCCATGCTTGAACTCTGCGCATGGCAGTTTGCGTTGGAGAGCAGCAGCAATTATTGCTGAGTTGACTCAGAATAATCCATATTGTCAGGAAAGAGTTTTGGAATCTGGTCTGTTACCAATACTTCTTTCTCTTGTTGACGTTGATCCCAATCACCAGGTTCGGATAAAGGCACTGTATGCCCTTTCATGTAAGTTGTACTCTAAATCATTGGTTTATAATCTACTGTGTGGTCTTTCATGAGTGTTCATAGTTGTACAGTTAATATAGGAGATAATATCTGATGGTACATTTTTATAATTTCAGCTATAAGGTAAAACAACTATTGGAATTGGAAAAATTAGTGTAAAAGTTTTCCCTAATTTTTACTTTATTGATTATATGCATGAAAATAAATTATTTTAGTCATACTTGTCTTGATTTTTTGGTATGATGGTTAGAACTGAATATCTCTTACTTCTTTGTGATGGTGAATTATTTGTTACCAAAATTACACGGTGGTAGATGGTAATATTAAAGCTGATATTAGTGTAAATAGGATAACTGATATGCTTACATAGCAGACGTACTTTTGGAAGTAATTGTGGCACAACTAAGACCTAATTCATGTTTGAAATGTAGCACTTAGCAACCTTTATTTGAAATGTTGTTACTATCACAAAGCAGTATAAATGATTGTGTAAAACCAATATAAAGATGTAATTGTATATAAAACTATGATATAACCACATGTAATTAAGAATTATTTGCAGTCATACATAAGTATGGCATATTTCTGCTTAATATGTATGGTAATATTTTAACTTCTTTCTAGGTCTGATTCGGGAAAATGATCACGCATTGCAAGAATTCAGCCATCAAGAAGGGTACTCAGTTTTACTGCGAGCTATGCAAAGTCATGTGGAAAAATTACAGATCAAATCATCATTTCTTCTTACTTATATATGTAACCACCAGCCTGCAGTCAAAGGTAATACAAATGTGACAACTGTCAAAGAAGACTCTGAATGTTTTGTGTATGTGGAATATAATTATTGTGATATTTCAAGGTCTGGGGTTTAGTCCAACACATGCACAGTAGCTTGAAGTTTGCTGTCTTCTGGATTGAGATTGTTATGGTGGTGATAGGTTGGTTTGGGAGCACGGTTCAATACAGCGATAGTGAGAAGGGTGAATGGAGACAGTTAAAGCATAATTTGGTTGCACTTCAAAAATGCCTAAATGTTAAGTACATATCAAATAAAATTTTAACAACTCGTTATGCTCTGGTCTGGCTAGTACTGTGCTGTGAGACCATATTACCATTATTAAAATACCTCAGCGTTGTGTTGAAATCTTGGAGGGGGTTTAATATTACGTTTGCACACGACCTGACTTCTATACCAGGATTCACCACTGACCATCTTGTTATAGCTGTACTGACTGTGTGTATTCTTTGTTAGTTTTTTATTTTGTTACAGATGAATTGTTTAAGATGGGTTTTGTGGAGCAGCTGGTAGGGTTAGTTGGTCAGGGCTGCCAACCGGCTTTGGAGCACATACTGTCAGCATTACTAGCCCTAGTTACAGATCACGCACCTTCTCTGAATGAGTGTCGCCAGCCACGTTTACGGCTACTCTCAACTCTCCGTAATTTGTTGGAGCAAAACCAAGGGCAGGAACAGCAACAGGTACAACCGACTTTCATTGAAATTCATTCGGATACTAAAAGCAGACGTACAAACTAGTTGGTCTTCAGCGTTTTTCCACTTACTATAATAAACAGGTTATATGTGATCCTTGTCGTAAACAACGATTATTTCCATAAACACGATCAGCATAATTTATTAAAGCAGGTGGCAAGAGGTTGCATATGAAGATCCATAAGCTTATTCCATTAATTTGGGTTGGGGAATAATGCCACAACAATGGAGTCTTTTGATGAACATTTACTTTTACTTTCACTTTATTTTCAGGAGGAACATGAGTACACCAAGAACCTTTTAAGACTTGTTTTTAGTGGAGAATCTGAAGAAGAAAGATAAGATACATGTTAATGTGGATCAGGAGAGTGGAAACATTACAGACTGGAATGAATTCTTATTATGATATGGAAAATGGTCTCACCTGTAATGGTAGGTTAGGTTGACTCATCTGTACCGTCACTATGGCAAGAGCAACTAAATTGTTTGTAGAAGACATGTACTTTAAGTATTGTTCTCTTTTACATCTACAGTGATAAAACAGAAAAGAAGTGGTTGTCGTTTATAATTTTACTAATTTCGGTATTGGCATGTTTTGTTTCAGTGTCTGTATTGTTTTCTTTTGATACTTTATAAATCTGCTCGACAGTGTTTTAATGTCATTTAATATTGGTATTCTTCTTCTATGGCTCTCCGGTCCGTATTCGGTCCATGGCCTCCTCAATTCTCCTCTTCCATTCAGTCCTTCTGTTAGGTCCGTCTGTCCGAGGTTGAGGTTTCGAAACATCTTACTTTTTACGGTGCAAGGTTGTTAGCCTTGCGACCAACCACCAACCTGGAGGACCAGGGTATCTGTCTTAGTCTGACCTCTCCCCCTCGACCAATCTGGCTAGGGAGGCTCTACCAGTAGCTCTTGGGGTCACTGAGGTACTCAAGCCCCACCACCACGACAAGGTGCAGGTACCATTAAATGGGGATGCTATGTATGCTTTATTTAATAAATAATATTTTCAGGAAATTAATAGCCTTCGTGTTTGATACAACACATGTTGATAAGTGAATGAGTGAATGAAGGATTAAGTTGAATTTTAACTTAATAAAATTATATTAATTTTTATCTTGGTTGTATGAATATTTGTGTTTAGAGAGACAATAAAGTCGTATCCATTGATGTCCAAGCTCCTGTTTGAGACATGAACATTTGATAATACAACTGATCTTGAATAATGTTAGAGTCCTGGTAAGTGAAGTGTGGAGCATGGGGTTAAACTCCTGAAATAAGTGTTTCCACAATTTATCTAGGCAAATGCTAATTAATGTTTTAAGACAGGACAACCGCTGTTTTCAAGGGCTAACAAACTCCTACTTTAGTGTCAGAATTTGGTTAATGAATTTTATGTCTGAAATATTACTGAAATACAGGTAGCCCTGGACTTGCGCCGATTCAGAACAACGCCGATTTTGAAACCAGAATGTCAAAAAGTTGGAAAAAAAATATTATTATTATTATTTATAACGTTTTACAATGTTTCTCGTACTGATTCTTATATTAAATTGTAATTCTTACATCGCTTATTTTGAATAAAAATTACTTATGTTTCGTTAATGCGAATTTGCTCGAATGAGATCTATGAATCGGTAAAAGCTGTTTGTGAAATGCAAACTTTTGTACATGCGAGTTTCCTCTTGTGCTACAGTGAAGAGGAGTGTTATGGCATCCATGAGGCCTTATTGTGAAATTTTGAAAGAAAGAAGAAATCATGACAGTCCACAATACGTGCCTTCTTTAAAAAACACGACGATCCTCAACTAGGGACTTCGTCAGAGAACTAACGCCGCTTCATCAAGCCACCGCCCGATTGTAAGTGTATAAAACATATTTTTTGAATTCTCTTTATTTTATTTACGTTATTTCAGAGACTTTAAATGTAATGCCATTATGTTACTCGTCAATGTTTGGGTGCTGGGAACGCATGTCATCGACTTCCCATTGATTTACATTATAAAATTGTTCCACTTTTCGCCGGTTCGTCCAGGAACACATTCCCGGAGTAAATCGAGGGCTACCTGTATTATGTTTCTCAAATTGTAATTTTCTGCTACTCATATACTAGTATACATTTTTATTCAGCTAGCACCTCAGAAACGTCTTTAAACTACCAAACTACGTGGCTGAACAACCCAGAAACTGTTATCTTCATACACTGCTGTGATAACCTGGAATTTTATTAAATATGTCTCCAGGCCGTGGGTGGAGATTCCGCGACGGTAATTTTTTTTTACTAAATTAATTGATTATCTTTGAGATAAAAGGAGCATTTTAATAGAGAAACCCCCAGAATACGACAAAATTAATCATTGTTACACGTTAGTGTTCCCTGGCAACGCGATGTAAAAAAATTCACGGGTGGGAGGAAGGTAAGAGGAGGAGCCGAAACTCCTAGAACCTCTGTCAGAGCGGCTGCCCGACCAACTAACGAAGCGGTCGATATACGAACGAACCAACCGGTCGTTACACTACATTGCTACTTTCAGGCAGCTTCAAATTGTTATTCTGCCGGTATCCTTCGTTGTGCGAAGACGTAGCGGCTTTTTGTACCGGCATCACCAGCACAGTTGCTAATTCGTGGTTGTAGTGAAAATTACTCAAGTGTACCAGACGTTGCTTTTCAGTTTTACGGGCGTAACACTTCTGTAAATCAGTGTTCGGCCTAGTGACACAGGTATGTTCCACCCAGCCACATTTTGTTTAACTACGCACGAATCTTGGTTTCGGTAGAAACTTCTCGTTTACGTATGGCGACAAATCGTTCTTGACAGGTGCTGTTACTGCATTTTTATCTTATTCCGGCATCCAGTAACAAAACAAATATCTGATTATTTTCTTTTTGGTAGAAAGGTAATTCACTTTCGAAGGGCATTGCTCTGTACGTGAAGATGTTAATTGAACCGTCTGCATAATACAAGAACACTGTTTTTTGCACCAGGTGTTGAGGAAATAAAACATATTTATACATTTTCAAAAGCGTCTGAAATTTCTTCCAAAATTATTAGGTAATTCATAACACCAACATTAGAAAAAAATGTGGTCCATGCAAGATGAAATTCTGAAACACGGAATTATGTGTTTGACAGTTTTGTGGTTGTGTTCTCCCTTTTTCAGCCAGTGATATAAAAATGTTTTTACTCTAAATAACTGCATTTACGAGCATATATTGGCACTGAGGTTGTGTATCGCGTGGTTATTGTTTGTATTTTATTGTCGCGTAACGTAGATGTTTGGACCTACTCTTGGCACCTCGATTGACGGACGCTACAACGCGTAGGTCTACTTGCTGTACTGCACTCACGTAAAGATAAGGATGTTATGGTGCTAAAAATGCACTGTGTTAGTAGAGATCCCGGTAATGTTTTTCATTTGCGAGTAGCAAGAATTAAATTCTTGCTGCTATTACGTAGATTTTCAAGCAGTAAGATAGATTGAATCTAACGATGAACATTATAATATAGAGTTTTAATTTTAATATGCTACATCTCCAAATGAGTGTGAGTGGAGGTTTCCAGCATTCATATTCCCACGTTTTTGTACATTTGTAGCTTATTTAATAACTAATTTAGACTGTAGCGTTGATTGATGGGATTAATGGACAATGACTTGGAAGACGTGGTAAAAGAAACTTCCGTAGCATTTGTCTGGAAGAGGGACTGAGAAAGGCCTGTCCCTAGGCTGAGATTTGGAATGGGGACCGCCCACTCACGGGCGACTTTCGGTTCCATGTGATATATATAGTGTTTCTTCGTTAGAATCGATATCCCGCACAACGAACGTGGAGAGATGCAAGCTTGCAGTAGTCCGGAGGTATAATTTCACGAATGCTAGAATTAAATGCGCGCCGGTTAAATATGTAATTGTTTTTGTGCTTCATAATTTTGTAGAACGATTTATTGAAAGCTTCGACTTGCTTTTTACGGGTTCAGACCTCGGCCCGAAGACCGGCTGTCATGACTGAAAATTTTCGTGGCTTTCCCCGATTCCACGAAAAATTTAGACATTAAATTAGGTCACGGCCACTTCTTTCAATATCGTTTCCAATTTGATATTCGTTAATCAGCCAGTCATCAGACGCTGTGTAGTCTTGAGCTAGGGACAGCGTTATTAAATAAATAACAAATAATGGTCTTTATTAGAAGCATGTCAGATTCGAAGTGTGCAATTCCAGAGTAGATAAGCCTACATAGTGGAAAACTCATCCTGAGACAGGAAAAAGGTGCCCTTCTCTATATCTTCATTCATATCATCAGCAGTGCGAATTTAGCTCTGAAAACGCGGTCTTCCAGACTGAGAAAATAGTGGCGTTGGTTGAAGAATATTCCAACAGTACCCATACCATGGACGTTATGGATCTTGTTTGAGGACAGATGTTCCTTTAAAAGAAATCGAAAGCTGCGCGCGTTGTGTGATGCGTTGAACCATCTTATTAGAACTAAAATTTGCCAATACAAACACGTTAGCCCAAGCGAAAATGAATACGCTTTTAGGAGTGTCATGATAACATTTACAATTCCACTGGCCCATTACTGTTACTCGTTGGGAATGCATCAAAGTTACTTGGGTTTTACCAATTTAGCAGTGTTTTGTTAATGTAACAGTATAAACTAACAGCATTGTGTTGGATCCTTCAACAGAAACTTTTAGAGTGAGAAACCCAAATTAAGGAGAGCTACAAAGACCTCTGGATTACCTAAAAATATCTTATGAATGAGACCCAATTCGCTAGGATTTTGCTGTAGAAGTTAACGCTCTTTCTCCGTTTTCTCATTATTAGCAAAGTGTATTTGCGACAAGTGATAAAAAAGATGGTCAGATGATCCTCTTCATTGTTCATTAAGTTTTAACGCACGCAGATGGCTTATTCGCCGTAAGCTCAGCCAACGTGTATTGAAAAATCTGTTGGCTTGTACATAATACATTCACTGGTTATTTATATGTTAACCAGTAAATTGCCCACCAAGAATGACGGGGAAATTCATAGTACACTCACACACAATGTAATAAATCATAGATATTAGGCTCCAAATCCCTTAACAACATTATCACTGCAACGGTTATAACAACACACACATTCATGAGGATTAACACTTAAGACTCTCAAAATCCCTACAGCAAATTATCACCCACCAAACAGCAAAAGCTACCAGATGTCTTTTATTACAGTTCGTGTAATAACGTTCATAGTTTATGACATTTGCATTTGTAAAAGTATCTCCGTGGAGAAAAATCCCTGAGAAGAGAGAGTTTTCAAAGCGAATTCCAGCATATAACTTCAAAAAGACCATATCTGTTTCGTCACAATCATCCCGATTTATTATCCTCAGCAGTTGGTATAATGTCATGCAATTATTAAATAAGGGACGTATCAGTAATAATATTCTGGCAGTGTATGTTTTAGGTGTTTTGTAGGTTATGTGTATTCAGTGTCTGTGAACTTCACCATATAGACAATTTTCCCCAGATGTCGCTTGCATTTTTGTGCGATTTAGAGCCTCATTTCAAGACAGTTTAGTCGAGTGGAATATTCCGTTAGTGTGTGCTTGCAATATGACACTTTGTATTGTTACGGATAGACCTCGACACCTGCGGGTAAAAAGAGGATTGAGTAGAAATATTGTTACGGAAGACTAACTCCATTCTCTGATATTGTTTACAATTTGACCTTGGGTAATTGAAATATTTCCATCCGAAATTAGTTCGCCAGTAATGCAGTGACATAACTTTACAAACACATAAGCAAGGTTAAACACTTTTAGACTTCTGTGTTGTTGTTGTTGTTGTTTTAAGTAAGCCGCAAGGCCTGTGAGATCACTGTGCTGTTAGAACGTGCGTCCCTCTTTCAACTCTAAATCGGTTTGTCGATTTTCACGAAAGTTGGTATGGACGTAAAACGAAAGGGAGTCAGAGCATCCTCATACTTTTTAAGTTTGTTAATTGATCCCGACATGAAGTATGGTAACAGATTTGAAAAAAAAAATACGCAAATTTGTTGAGGTAATTGTAGAAAGTAACAGAACAAGATGACAACCAGCTTGTTTAATGTTATTCGAGCATTAGCTTGCACTGACATAGGTTATGTAAAAACTTATAATCGGGCCTGAGTTTACAGAAACAAAACACCAGGAAGGTGAAGGCTACCTGCAGTTCTTGGTGAAAAGAGAAATCGTAATGCATTTGGTACAGCAGACAGCATAGAACGTTTATTTACGAAACCTTTCAGCAGAAATCGCGTAACTCTCTTCAGCCGCCTGTACATTAGAGTGCCCGCAGCAGTTCAACTAGCTTCTTTGAAGATTGCTTGTTGTAGCGAGCAACTGTAATGGAATTATGTCTAAATATTGTTTACGGTGATGTGTTGTCACATCACACGTGCGACTATTTTATTCTTCTTAGGTTTTATCAAACACGGCGTTTCGGAAATTGGATGTTTTCGTCATTACATAACGGGAGGAAGATTCATACTCTATGAGAAATACGCAGATGGGGAAACTAAAAATGCCTTTTTCCAAAGGAAAACTATAGCCCATATATATTTGTGTTAATTTGCTTTAAATAATTTTGTCACACTTCAATATTTTTTGCTTTCTTTTTCAAGTTTGGGTTGTACGCCTCCTTCAAGTGCCATTTTTTTTAAATCTGGACGTCTTTCTATTTGAAAGCGAACCGTTGTACTTCGGAGATTATCTGAATGGTATTTCCATTATGTATGAAACAGAGCATGCGCATAAATTTATCGTCTTCGTGTAGAGTTGATCGAGAAAACATAAACGTTACGTTTATGTTGTGCATATGTATTTGATTATAATTATAGTGACTCACACTTGGGATGGTAAAGCTTACTGTCATTGATTTTTATGGAATCAGATGGGCCTTGGTTCGCTGGCATGTTATACCGTTAATGTCGATGGTTAATGCCAGTAATGTGCAGTGCTTGCAGGTGTAATAAAGAACTGTAGTCAATAAAGTGACTTGCAGTGACAGTACCATCGGCGAGTAGGCCTGTATGTGTCTTCTTTGCACAGATTTGTGGGTCAGAAATAGACCCCATGCTACGCCAGTCGCATATTTCCAATGCATACGATGGCTGCGTTATTTTTATAAATTTTGCGTAAGCGACAGACGGAAATGAAGTAATGGATTTTTGACGTGTTTAATTGCAGCTTCTTTGCGTTTGGTTGGTTGACGTTTCTAGATACGTTGTGTACGGAGCCAATAGTGGTAACATACGTATGATATAAGAAAAGTTCCTGGCCGTAGCATTCTGGAAACGTTAATCAGGACACACAGCAGTATTACTGCTTACACTGCCTTCCTAGCAAGACTAATTAGTCAGTGTCATATTTCGACAGGTTGTGATTTCAGAGAAACGTTCAGGGACTTTTATCACTTTCAGACGTTTAGCAGTAGACTGACGTTTCAGAGGTGTATACTGCCTCCATCGTCAGGACCTTAATGATGGATTCATTAAGCACCTCTGAAACGTCGGTCTACTTTTACGAGACTGAGAGGCGCAATATCTTGATAGAATGCCATCTCAGAAAGTGGAAGCGTTCGTAAAGAGCGACCATCCACAGAGGTTCAGCGTGTGTTATTTGCGTTGTTGCATCTCTGACTGACATCATTTATTACAGATGAAACAGAACTGATCACTAGTTGGGATACAACACTGCACTGCATAATCATTAATTATATAGCTTGCAGATATGACACTGTAGGTGAAAACTTCGTTCACTGTATGCATTTAATTGCCCGTCATACTGATTGAAGTATGAAAAAAGAGGTTTTAAATCTTATAAAGTGTTGGTTTATTTTACGACCGCACTGTTTATAGCGCGGAATATAAAATGTGATGAAGGAGGTTGAAAGGAAGCGGCTTATTGTAAAGCACCAAAGTAGCGTTTTCAAGGATACCTTAGGAAAATCACGAAGAATGTGTCAGGATAGTCGGATTTCTGGCCGAGATCATAACTGGGGACTTCTGAGCATTAAACAAGAAAGACGTCAGAGTTTCACATCCAGCCAGAACTTATCGGAGGCTGATGGACGCCTCGCGGGCATGGGGCCCACCTGACCGAAGAGTCTTGTGTGGTTGCCTGTCATCCAGGCATCCCATTAAACAACATGACTCTGCTTCACACTTTCAGACAAAGCAAGTCAGGAGAAACTGAAATCATATGATCTTCAGTAACTCCAGCTCGTCGAGCAGTTTTTCTCAGAAGCCCAGCCAGCCACATTCAGTTCGCTATGAAGTTCAGCCTGATACAAACACACGTGCTTGGCGATAACGTGGAGCTGGGGAAGTCCTTGGTCTGTTTGCATACCGCGTGTTTATATTTTCTGCTTCTGCAGGAGTGAGTCCAGACAGGCTCTGGGACCAACGCGGCGTCGTGTCCGGTGGGTACCGGGGTCCTTTCCTTAGAAAGGATTTAAAGAACGTGTTCTTAGCCACTTCCCAATTTTATAGCAAAAGGCTGGCTTATGGAATCATCATAATTATTTTTGAACCAGTCGACGGGTGTTTTGAAACTGGGTACGAACACCATGCTGACATTTCGCTGTTATAATTTGCTGTAATCAGTAAACAGCATGGGGTAAAACTTCTGAGGTCGGTGACACCCTAGCGGCATTTCGTTTAGGGTCATGAAATTTGACGGGAATTAATGTTTCTTTTTTCAACAATAATGCACTTTATTGCAGCATTGTTTTCTCATATTGCACCGAAAGTACAAAATTTATAAAATTTATTTACGAAGTAAATTAAATGTGAAGATATCTTCACGACGAGAAAAGATGGTTTGAAACTCTGCGGGGGGGGGGGGGGGAATATGAACTAGGGGAAAATTATTTGAAATTCAAGTCAATTTCTCAATTTCATTTAGTCTTAATTCATCAACTGGAAGCGGATTCATTCATCTCCAGTTTCTTTAAGTCCTATTTCTAGTAATTTTTTAAAGAAAGAAGGTATCAGTGAAGTATTCCTTCTCTGAGAGCATAAATTTCGATTCTGAAGTTATTTTGTTGACACTTTCACCAGCAGTTAAATTGCACCACACCGAAGAGAACAGGAATAGCGCACTCTGGAAGGTCATGCCAAAAGTAGCTCATCCAGCACGTATAAAGCCCAAAACGAAAAAATAAGTCCGCGTCCACCACCAGTATTCAGTGCTCTAGACAGGTCATGTGACGTAATCCAGTTCAATCCCGCTGTAGCAAAATCCAGTATACTGATGTACGGCGTACCACGTCCAAGGCCTCCATTAGGTTGCTGATGTCTGCTTACTTGATCAAGAAACCATATCCGGTAATTGAACCCGACATTCCAACACCGTGCTTAAAAAGACAACTATTGCACACTGTTAAATGAGGTAAATCGAGATAACATATTTGCAACTTTTTTTTAAAATAAATTCAATATTATCAACGCATATGCTGTTACAGTGGTCTTAATGTCTGGAAAATTTCCTCCTGTAGATGTGCTACAAGGATCGGTAAAACATTAAAGACAAAACAGTTCACTACTTATTAAAATTTAATTATTATAACACCGAAAGATTAATTTGTGCTAGTAACGCTTCCTTCTGAGAAGCTCGAATTTCCACCATGTTGGTATTTATAATGACAAATTAAAAAAATACGAAGATGGGGTCAGGGCACGTACACAAAGCTTCATGGGAGTTAGTCATTTGATTCAAAAGTGCTTAGGGAAACGTCAGATACATGTACATTGTACAGCATGCCTATTTTTACGTAGAAAAAAAATCAGCTAAACATCCAGGTCATCTTATTTGCTGCGAGTATTGGTGACCTTTCGATGCAACTCAGTAAACGTCGAGTCCTGAAAAACTGAACCAACTCACTGAATGTGGTTTAATATCACATTCAATTTGATACATATAGTGACTGTATTTGTTGTAAAATGTTTAATGACTCGCCAAATTTTAGTTTGTTTTCCCACCTAATGATGACACTGTAAGCCAAAATGCAGCTGTGATTGTTTTTACGACAAAACGGGACCCCCATCCTGTGTCAATACTCAAGTTTGCTGTTCTCTCGATGCTTCGTTCAGTAGACAAATAAACCTGACCTCCAAATAGTTCTAGTCTCGAAACATAGCAGTTGATTTTTCACATGGGTTATGTTTAAAAATTGTCTACGACAGTAAAATGTCAGACATCCGTTACGGTGGGATATGGATCGAGGCACCCATGGAGTAATTTCAGGCATTATCCCTGCCCATTATTTGTCTGGAAGAAGTGTGAGGAAGAGAAGATGAAGTGACACCAGTACTCGGTAGTTGTAAAATATTGTTTCTTGGCTGTAGTAGAACGTTGAATTGACGTCGTTGATTGCTAGATCTTCTCGGCGGTACCACAAACAATTTTTGCTAACTTACAGACGAAGTTACCGAAAACTGTGGTAGCAGAAAATGACATTTCTGTCTGTGTAATTGTAGTAGTATGTGAAACATGCACGCCTTCAGGGAATCGGTTTAATGATGTCAGTGCTGGAAGTGCGTAGATACTGCCCACTCGTAGAGGATCTTCGTATGTCGCAGAATGGATATTATCGTAATCAATCGTTAGATTTCTCATGCTCGTGTTTGATATAGGCTGTTCACGAGATTTCAATGCCACCATATTCAGTCGCCGGGAAATCCCACTTCCATAAACGGATGAAATGAAGATTTTAATTTTTAATGAAATATTGTTGCGCAGGCTACAGTGACGTTTGTTTACCAGTTTATCACATATAGGCTGTCCCAAAAGATCTATACACACGTCGAGTGAACGAAATAAAGAAATTTTAACACACTAAACAATTACATACGGCAGTATTTGCGATTGGTGAATTAGCGAATGTAGTGTAGTTATTCGAAATGACCACCGTTAGCTTGTGGCACAGTTGAACAACCGACTGACAAGCGATAGCAATTTTGAGGCATTCTGTGTTTAATGCGAGATGTACCATTATCTGTTCCAGTGTTTGTGCTACCATGTTGCCACGCCTGCTTTGTGTTCCAACCTGTCCTCTGTCATGTTAATATTAAATATAATGATAATGAGAACCGTGGTGTGAAATTGTAAATCTTGGTGAGGACAGTTGAGAGAGGTTCCAAATCGCTCTTATTTTCAAAAGAGAATTCGTATCTGATTAATGAATTTGCACAGCGATGTCCACTGAAGCTGCAGTCTGCACGTTCTGAGAAATCGTATCGCTTTGGTCCTGATAATGCGATTACAAACGACATACGACCCAGTTCGTTTGCGTACTGCATACATTGCACCAGTCATATTTCATAGATTGAAATTGAATGCTTTGTCATGGGGGGGGGGGGGGGGGGGACTGTTTTAATTTTTTTCTTAACCCTTTAACGCCCAGTGGTAACTATATGTGCCACCTGCTTGAATAATGAGTATTACTGAATTTTGCTGACAGCGTAGTATTTATGAGTATATTAATTTCATATAATGTTCAGAGTAAACAGCCTTGAACAGCATTAACCAGTTGGTATTTGTAATGGGACGCGTTGTGTTTTTATTGCAGTAGGAACTGATTGTTTACATAGCCTAGTCTTTAGTCTTCATAGTGCTAAATAGCAGGATAGTCATTCCATTGCTTTCATTTGGAGATTAGACAGTAAAGTTGCTTCCTGAATTTGGCAATCAATACAGTGACATATGTTGTGCTTCGTGTAATTTCTTTTTTCTCGAAGTAAGCTATTTGAAACTCAAAGGTACACCTGCTGTGTGTCAAGGGGTAATACATACACGTTCAGTCTTCTGCGCGTTTTTAACTGCACAGTGCGCAGTTTTAATTGAATTAAGATACTTAAGTCGGGCTACTTCATTTTGCGACTGGCGGCTACAGCAAATATTCAGCCATAGAAATAACAAGTAATGGACTTGTCCGTCAACAATCATCGCCAGTTACTGGTGAAGATGGCTGTCTTGTGAGATGTTGCACCTCGTAGTGTGTATGGTAGATATAGATTGACGTACTGCCTCCATCATCAGGGTGCTGAGTGATGATGGAGGGATTCATCTCCTGTGAAACGACGGTCGATATATACGAGACTACGAAGTGTAACATCCCACAAGACAGCCATTTTTATGAAGATTTCTGTCTTCTGGGTTGTTGCGCTGAGTAGTCTGGTCGATGTTTACCAGCGTTTCAGAGGTCATACTGCCTCCGTCATCAGGGCGATGAGTATGAAGATTTCTGTCTTCTGGGTTGTCGCCCTGATGACGGAGGCAGTATGACCTCCGAAACGTTGGTAACCATCGACCATACTACACAGCGCGACAACCCAGAAGACAGAAATCTTCATACTCACCGCTGTGAAAAGCTCAAATCTTACACAGTCATTTTTATATTTGTCGCCGTGATAACCTCAAATCTCACGTATATAAATTGTGTCTCGTAAAGTAACTT